TACTATTAGGTGATGGGGTGTGGACCTATTCTTATTGATTTTGAGGGGGCTTCTCTGAACCTCCTGGATTTTGATGCTTGTTCCCTTTGCCATATTGGGGAAATTCTCTCCAATATACCTTTTACTCCCCTCTCTCTTTCTTCTTCTTCTGGAATCCCAATTATTCTAATGTTGTTTCATCTTATGGTGTCACTTATCTCTCGAATTCTCCCCTCGTGGTCCAGTAGCTGTTTGTCCCTCTTTTGCTCAGCTTCTTTATTCTCTGTCATTTGGTCTTCTATATCGCTAATTCTTTCTTCTGCCTCATTTATCCTAGCAGTGAGAGCCTCCATTTTTTATTGCACCTCATTAATAGCTTTTTTTATTTCAATTTGGTTAGATTTTAGTTCTTAGATTTCTCCAGAAAGGGCTTTTATATCTCCTGAGAGGGTTTCTCTAATATCTTCCATGCCTTTTTTGATCTGGCTAGAACCTTGAGAATCGTCATTCTGAACTCTAGATCTGACATATTACCAATGTCTGTATTGATTAGGTCCCTAGCCTTTGGTACTACCTCTTGTTCTTTTTTGTGTGGTGAATTTTTCCGCCTTGTCATTATCTGGACAAATATAAGAGTATATGAAGGAGCAAGTAAAATACTAAACGGGTGGCAACAACCCCAGGAAAATATACTTTAGCCAAATCAGAAGATATCCCAAATCATGAGGGGGGAGAAAGGGGATAAAAAGAAGTTCAGAAAGAAAAAAAAAAAAAGAAAGAAACAATTAAGAAAAGAAAACCAATAAAGAAAAAATATAAAATGGAAAAAAATATATATATATATATTAGATAAACTAGTTAAAAACGTTAAAAACGAAAAGGGTAAAAGTTAAAAAAATTTAACAGAAGAAGAGAAAAAGAAATTGAAAAAGAAAAAAAAATTAAATTAACTGCAAGGCTAAAGAATCATGGGGAGAAAGCCTTGAGTTCCGTGCTTTGCTTTCTCCTCCTCTGGAATTCCGCTGCTCTCCTTGGTATTGAAACTGCACTCCTTGGTAGGTGAACTTGGTCCTGGCTGGGTTTCTTGTTGATCTTCTGAGGGAGGGGCCTGTTGTAGTGATTCTCAAGTGTCTTTGCCCCAGGCGGAGTTGCACCGCCCTTACCAGGGGCCGGGCTGAGTAATCTGCTCGGGTTTGCTTTCGGGAGCTTTTGTTCCCTGAGCGCTTTCCGTAGAGTCCGGAGGACGGGAATGAAGATGGCGGCCTCCCAGTCTCCAGCCCGGAGGAGCCGAGAGCCCGGGGCCCCACTCCTCAGTGCGCCCTCAGAGAACAGCGCCCAATTACTCCCGTCACCCTGGCTTCCGGCCGCGCTCCGAGCTCACCAAGGCTGCGACCGGTTCAAGCTAAGCCCAAGCTGTGAGCTCACTCCTCGGCTCTGTCTCTGTAGCCGGCTTCCCCATTCTAATACCTGTAAGCTCTGCGACACTCAGACACCCCGATCCTTCTGTGACCCTGCGGGACCTGAGGCCACGCTGACCCCGCGTGGTCTTCACCCCGGTTAAGCCTCTGGAGCGATGTCCCTCAGCGGAACAGACTTTTAAAAGTCCTGATTTTGTGCTCCGTTGCTCCGCCGCTTGCCGGGAGCCGGCCCCTCCCCCTGCGGTCTATCTTCCCGTCTCTTTGGATTCACTTCTCTGCCAGTCCTACCTTTCAGAAAGTGGTTGATTTTCTGTTTCTAGAATTGCTGTTCTTCTTCTCTTCGATCTCCCGTTGGATTTGTAGGTGTTTGCAATCTTTAGATAAGCTATCTAGCTGATCCCCCGCTACCTGAAGTAGTCTCAGCTGCTACTTCTCCGCCATCTTGACTCCTCCCCTCTCATTGTGGTTTTGACTTTCATTTCCCTGATGATCAGTGATGTTGAGCATCTTTTCATGTGTCTGTTGGCCATTTGTATGTTATCTTTAGAAAAATGTCTATTCAAGTCCTCTTACCATTTTTTAGTTGGATTACTTGTTTTTTTTATTGACTTGTATGCATTCTTTGTATATTTTGGATTTTAATCCCTTATCAGATATGTCATTTGCAAATATCTTCTCCCATTCAGTAGGTTGCCTTTTCGTTTTAATGATGGTTTCCTTCACTGTGCAAGTTTTTTACCTTGATAAAGTCCCAACAGTTTATTTTTGTTTTTGTTTCCCTTGTCTTAGGGGGCATATCTTAAAAAATGTTGCTGTGGCCAATGTCAGAGAAATTACTTCCTGTGTTCTCTTCTAGGAATTGTATCAGGTCTCACATTTAGAACTTTAATGCATTTTGAGTTTATTTTTGTGTATGGTGTGGGAAAGTGCTCCAGTTTCATACTTTTGCTTGTGGCTGTCCAGTTTTCCCAGCACCATTTATTGAAAAGACTATATTTTCCCCATTGTATATTCTTGACTCCTTTCTCATAGATTAATTGGTAAGTGTGGATTTATTTCTGGAGTCTCTGTTCCATTGATCCGTGTGTTTATTTTTGTGTCGGTACCTTACTGCTTTAATTACTACAACTTTGTAGTCTCTGAAATTTTGTAGTATGCCTCTAGCTTTGTTGTTCTTTCTCAAGATTGCTTTGGCTGCTTGGGGTTTTTTGTAGTGCGTTACAAATATTAGGATTACATGTTCTAGTTCTGTGAAACATGCTGTTGCTATTTTCATGGGTATTGCATTGAATCTTGTAGATTGTTTTGGTTAGTATGGACATTTTTGCAATATTAATTCTTTCAATCCATGAGCATGGACTATCTTTCCATTTATTTATATCATCTTCAGTTTCTTTTGTAGTTTTCAGAGTACAGGTCTTTCACCACCTTGATTAAGTTTATTTCTAGCTATTTTATTTATTCCTTTTGGTGTGATTATAAATGCAATTATTTTCTTAATTCCTCCTTCTCCTACTTTGTTATTAGTGTATTAGTGAAATGCTACCAGTTTCTGGGTATCAATTTTGTATCCTGCAACTTTACTGAATTCATTTATTACTAATAGTTTTTTTAGTGGAGTCCTAAGGGCTTTCTAGTTATAGTATGTCATCTGCAAATAGTGACAGTTTAACTTCTTCCTTACCAGTATGGGTCCTCATATTCCTTTTTTTTTTTTTTTTTTCTTTAATTGCTGTGGCTACAGCTTCTAGTACTATGTTGAATCAAAGTGGTGAAAGTGGACACCCTTGTCTTATTTCTGACCCTACAGGAAAAGCTCTCAGTTTTTCTCCATTATGGAGGATGTTAACTGTGGGGTTTTTGTAGATGGCCTTTATTATATTAAGGTGTGTTCCCTCTAAACCCACTTTGTTGAGGGTTGTAGCATGAATAGAAAGTTTAATTTTGTCATGTGATTTTTCTTCATCTTTTAAGATGACCACACAGTTTTTATCCTTTGTTTTCTTGATGTGGTATATGATGTTGATTGATTTGTGTACATGGAACCATCCTTACATTCCAGAATAAATTTGATTATGCTGAATGATCCTTTCAATATATTGTTGAATGTGGTTTGCTGGTATTTTGTTGAACATTTTTATATCCATGTTCATCAGGGGTATTGGCCTGTAGTTCTCTTTTTTTTTTTTTAATGGTATCTTTGGTTTTGGTATCAGGGTAATATTGGCCTTATAGAATGTATTTGGAAAATATCTATGGTCTTCTATTTTTTTATAACAGTTTGAGAAGAGTTAGGTATTAACTCTTCATTAAATGTCTGGTGGCATTCACATGTTTAGCCATCTGGTCTTGGACTTTTATTTGGGGAAGTGTTTTGATTACTGATTGAATTTTGTTACTAGTAATTGGTCTGTTCAGACTTTTTTGTTTCTTCCTGATTTAGTTTGGAAGATAGTGTGTTTCTGGGAATTTATCCCAGAAAAACTAGAAGTAGTTTGTCCAGTTTGTTGGCATATAATTTTTCATAGTACTCTCTTATTCTTATATTTCTGTGGTTCATTTCTCTTTTGTTTCTGATTTTATGTATTTGAGTCTTTTTTCTTGATGAGTCTGGGTGTAAGGGTTTATCTGTTCTGTTTATCTTTTCAAAGAACCAGTTCTTGGTTTAATTATGTTTTTTTTTAATCCCTATTTATTTCTGATGTGATCTTTATTATTTCCTTTCTTCTACTCACCTTAGATTTCATTTGTCTTTTTTCCCCCAATTTAGGCGTAAAGTTAAATTGTTTATTTGAGCTTTTTATTTCTTGAGTTGGCATGTATCATTGGATATTTCCTTCTTAGAACTACTTTTGCTGTGTTAAAGATTTTGGACCATGGAGTTTTCATTTTTTCATTTGTCTTCTCATATTTTTTTTTAATTTATTTGATTTCTTCGTTGACCGTTTGGTTGTTTAGAATATAAGCCTCTTCATCTGCATTTCAACTCAGTGTTTGAAAACTGATTCCTCTTTCTCCATTAGGTGGTTTCCAAAAAGTCTGTTAGCACTGTGTTTACCTCTAAGGGTGAATCAGTTGTGCTTCTCAGAACTATCATTTTAAAATAAGTTTTATAATATTAAATTTGTTGTGTATGTATGCATATGTGTGTAGGTAGGTACTTAGGTAAGAAGGAAGGAAGGGCTGAATATATCGAGAGAATTATTGGAAATTTCACTGAGGGTTTGCTAACAATCTTGAGCTGAGTATAAGGAAACATGTTGGGGCCCATGTGTTCCCTTCTTTCCCTAACCTCTTCATTTTCCCATACGTCCTGGTACATATAAAACCAAATAAGGTGAGCACAGGCATGAAGTCTACAAATCACAGATGTCTTCTCAGATTTTCAAATGAAAAGCAAAGTAGCCATTGTTAGGCAGACAAGTCTGTTAATTGAAAGGAATGTGACTTTTAATTTTAAGGGGGAAGATTGGGATTTGGTACATTTAAGATATGTAATTTTTCAGAATTAAAAGTGCATGGTACAGTAGCCAATCGGGGATATGTTATTTTAACTTTAATTCCATTGCCTTTTTCCCCCTCTTATGTTTTGAATCATGTTAGTCAAAGTGAAAGGGAAGAATTTGAAAATGAGTTCAAACAACAGTATGAACGAGAAAAAGTATTATTAACTGAAGAAAATAAAAAACTGACAAGTGAACTTGATAAGGTGAGTGATACAACCTAGTTTTTATTTCCTGAGCACATGCTAAATGTTCAGCACTGTGATAGAAATTGTAGATAATTTTGTATTTGATGGCCAGTTTGGGTTTAATATTTCTCCTTATATGCAGGGTTGGTACAGGCGAGTTTTCATTACAACAGTCTGTACGGGAGTTCTGGAGAGAGGGTTTTGCTTATCTCATCATATTCTTTGTCCCATTTATTTTTCGAGCCTCTCTTCTTTATTTCACTTTCTATCAATTCTCTTTTTCACACTTTCCTCCCATATTTGGTACTTACTCTTTCATGGCTGTTGGAGGTAAGGTGACCCTTGGCAAGAGCAAGAACAAGAACATTTAAGCTAAACTGGAGAAGTTTTGACAACTCTTTTGTCCTATTCATGATGGAAAACTTCTAATAGCTAGAAATAATACTGTTGGTAGTTAGGAATCTAGAGAAACGAACTCTGCCTAAACCACTGTAGCTTGAATAAAGAGCAAAACCATTCAGCCAGATTTATGAACAAAATGTCAAATACTTAAATGGAATGGTTTTCCGTTTAGTAGCTGAGATTTCTTGAACTGCCATTATTCTGCATTTCTTCATCAGTTCTTAACAAACAGTTGTAAAAATTCTAATATTATCTAGACGTTTTAATCTTATTTATATTTAAGAACATTTGGGTAATTGTGTTTTATAATAATTTCTAGGATTTTCCTCCAATAAAAGTATTTTGTTCAGTTATTAGTTATTCCAATAAGAGACTGAAAGACCATGACTAAGTAGTCATAAAAGAGAGACTCTTTATTGTCTCTCTGTTTTCCCTTGTGTTTCATGCATCTTTCACTACTTTCCCCATGACTCTTTGGTTCTTTATACATTTAATAATGACTTTGCTTGTTTACCTGAAAACAACTCCATTGTCCATTTGAGAAAAAACTCCATTTGTCCATTTGGTAAAGTCTTATGGAACTTATGTACACAGACACTGTGAGAAGTGGCTAGAGGTAGTAGAGACAGTAAGTAGTATGAATGTTTTCTTTAAAGTATGAAAAATATGTGAAGGTGATCATGTAACTCTTAGTTATTTCCACTAAAATAAAACTAACAATATTTGAGTTTTATACAAATAGGTCACATAATTGTTATTTCATGTGTTTGACTAATATGACTATAAAATTAAATATTATTTATCTATTAGGCAGAATTGAAGGTTCTTTTAAGAGTAACCTTGATGTGAGAAATGTAATTAAACTCTAGAAGGCCTCTGCATATAGTTTCTAAACAAACTACCTAGTAAAAAATGCATATAGTTCAAGAAAAATTATATTACTTAATTATATTACTTAATAATCAGTTTGTATGTAGAGCAAATCTTGTATTCACCCCTTGGTTTTATTTTATTAGTTACCATAAAGTTCTACTGAGTTTATACCAGAAATACATATTTGGAGAGAATTTATAAGCAATACTCTTATGAGTGTGATGAGATGCAAAGAATAAAAATAAAAGCCTGTCTCCTAAGTTAATAAAAATAGGACATTACCTTTTCTTGCTAAATTGAAAGGTATGATGAATGATGAGTAGAACTTTGAGAGCAAATTCGTATGGTGGGGTAGTATTTAATGACAAATGATACCAAGGAAATATTTATTCCTAGAGAAATAGAGATGGATCTGGGTTCTGCTGCCTTTTAAGTCTCTTCCCTACTTTTGCTCCTTTTATAGCCTTTGCTTCTCTTCCTCTTTAACTTTCAGTTCACCATGATTGAGCCTCTTCACTGTTTCTTTCTGTTCATTCATTTTCTGGTTTAGTTTGAACTGTGTTTCTTCATTAAGAGGGATAACCAGAGAATACTTTTGTCATTGCTATACCAGCTCTTCTGTCTGGGACCTGAGTGAAGAGAGCCGAATTTCTTCTCAACAGAACTTGTAGTATAGAAGCTAGAAAGCAACTATTATGTTAATTTTGAAATTTATTTAATTAATACTATGACTAGATTCTCATATTCACATTTTTAAACTCCAAAAATTAAAATTTTGAAAGAAATTAAAAAGGAGTACCAGAGTGACTCAACCAGTTAAGCATAAGACTCTTGATTCAACTCAGGTCATGATCCTCAGGGTCCGTGAGATCAAGCTCAGACTTGGGCTCCATGCTGGACATGGAGCCTGCTTGGGATTCTCTCTCTCCCCCACCCCTTACCCCACACCTGCCCCCACTCCACTGCTCATGCTGTCTCTTTCAAAAAAAAAAAAAAAAAAAGAAATTGAAAAAATTTTGTTGATATTCTCAGAAGTCTCATAAGTATCACTTTTTTTTTTTTTTTTTTTTTTTTTTTTTTTGAGAGCGAGCACACACAAGTTGGGGGTGGAGGAGCAGTGGAGGGCAAAGGGAGAAAGAGAATCTTAAGCAGGCTCTATGCCCAGCACAGAGCCCAGTGAGGGTGGGTCTTGATCTCATGACCTGAGATGATGATCTGAGCCAAAATCAAGGGTTGGATGCTTAACTGACTGATCCACCCAGGTACTCTTTTAAGTTTCACTTTTTATTAAAAGATAACTTATTGCAAATAAAATTAACCATGTATGTTAGGGAGTGAAAGTGAATGGCTTCCCATAAAAATATTATTTGTACCCTGTTCTTAAATTATTAAACAAAAAGTGTAAATTATAAAAATTACATAAAGTTACCCATGATCTCATTACCACAAAACAAATATTTTAATTTTATATGTTCCTTCCAGGTTTTGTTTGTGTAAATAGTTACGTAGGTGCAGTCATACATGCATTCCAATTCTAATATGCCTTTCACTTAAAATGTCATGACCATGTTTCCGTATTCTATACTATACTGTACTGTGCTATTCCATATTATAAGCCAGATATGTCAAGGTACAAATAGTAAAACCTTCTCATTCCCAAATAAGCAAAATGAACAAATACTTGGGTAGAATTTACTAAGTGCAGATCCTCTTCTAAGTTACTTTATATATATATCATTTAATCCTCACAAAAACTCTGTAAGGTATACACTATTACTCTTGCCATTTTATGGTTGAGGAGACTGAGGCAGAGGGAGGGGGATGAGACTCGTTTCCTAATCAGAGGACCAGGGAATGGCCAGATGGAATTTGAACACATGCAGTCTGGCTCCAGAGTCCATGCTCTTATTTAGTAATAATAAAAAGATTAGCATCTCTCTAATACTGAACAAGTCTACTTAAAACTACTTATAACTATTGTAACATGGTCTTGCAAAAGCTGTGTTTCCTCTCCTTCCTGCAGATATCTAGCTGACATCACTCACAGATTAGTTGGAAGGACTGTCAAAAGCAATAGTAATGAAAAGTAATGTGTTGTATTAATTAGTAAAGACATTGCATCTGCAAAAAATTTTTCAAAGACGGCTGGTAGACTTCTGTCTGTGCTAACATGAAGAGATTGATGAATCCTCTCAAGAAAAAACAAAATTTCAAAGTGGACATAACTGTCAAAAAACAACCATTGCAGAGGGAATTAACCAGAGGACGACCACTACAGAACATTGCTGAGATAAATGAAGGAAAATCTAATGAAGAGATGTACACGGTTAATGGATCAAAAAACTTGGAATTGTTCGGACCTCAAGTCTCCTCTAATGTATACATTTAGGGAAATCCCCATCAAAATTCTGATAAGACTTTTTTGTTGGAATTGAGAAGCTTATCCTTAAATTTATTTGGGAATATAAAAGACCTATAATAGCCTTTTGCAGCAAAAATTGGAGGATTTATCTGACAGTCTTTTGAAACTTACTGGTAGTTTTGGTATTATGGAACCATAGTGTAATGGTCTAAAAATAAGCCCTCATATTTGTGGCCAATTGATTTTCAGCAAAAGTGCAAAGCAATTCATTGGGAGAAGGATAATCTTTTCAACAAATGGCGCTAGAACACTTGGATATCCATGTGAAAAAAAATTAAATTCTTATACCATATAAAAACATTAACTTAAAGTGGATCATAAACTGAAACATGGGAGATAATCGTAGGAGAAAATTTTCACGATTTAGGGTTAGTCAAAGATTTCATCTGTATAAATCAAAAGTATAACCCATGAGAGAAAAATAATGATAAATTGTACTTCATTACAATTTAAATACAACATTAAGAAAAGTAAAGTACATACACAGATAAGGAGGAAACATTTGCAAATCATTTACCTAATAAGAAACATATTCAAAATATAGAAAGAACTTAAAACCCAATAATAAATAATGCAAACAACCCAGTGAAAAAATGGGAAATTTTGAATGGACATTTCATGAAAGATTGATGAATGACAAGCAAGTGAAAAGAAGCTCAATATCATTAGGAATATGTGAGCTAAAACCACAGATATATAGTGCTATACACCATCAAAAATAAGTGGAATTAACAAGAGGGACCATACCAACTGTTGGCAAGGATGTGGAGGAGCTGGAACTCTATACTGCTTGTGGGAGCATCAGGTGGTTATATAGCCACTTTAGAAAATAGTTTTAAGAAATTCTCAAAAGGTAAGCATACCCTTACCACATGACCCAGAAATTCCTGGAGATATTTAAGAAAACTGAAAACAGAGTCCTTCTAAGGACTTGTGTATGCATGTGCATAGCATCATTATTCACAATACCAAACAACTGGAAATAGTTCCAATGCTCATCAGCTAGTTAGTCAATGAGCAAATGAAGTTTACTATTACCCATATAATAGAATACTACTCAGCTGAAAAAAGGGGATTTCTGATACACACAATACTGTGGTTGAACCTCAATATTTTGGGGAGTGAAAGACAAAAAACCTACATGTTGTATTATTTCATTGGTATTAAATTTATTGGAAAAGCAAAAGTATAGAAACAGAAAACAGATCACCAATGCCTGGAACTCAGTTTGGGAGCTAGGAATGACTGCAAACCAGCAGTGGGGAAATTTCTCCTGTACCAAAATTGGATTGTGGTGATTGTTGCACGGCTGTATAAGTTTATTAAAAATCCTTGAACCATTACACTTCTAATGGATAAATTTTAGTGTATGTAAATTATGTCTGTAAAAAGAACTTTTTCAGAGGTTAAGTGGCACACCTTGAGGTACAGAACTGAAATCCCTTATTATCAACAGGCATATAAGGGTGTATGTTGGCATCGATAGCTTCTCTGGACCCCATTGCCTTCTGAGAAGACAGTGAGGTTGGAGGTATGATTAAACAGGGAATTGCAGCTGTGCTCCTTTGGTAGAGGGGGAGAAACAAAACTGCACTGTGACTTATGCCAAAAAATGTCTATGTCTCACATTAGTACAGGCCAAAAACTGAGAACAACCCTGGGTCATTAGGATTCCTGATCAATTTAGATGGGGGAATTGGCCCACTGTGACCTATGGCCAGATCTAGCTCTGAGACTGTTTCTTGATGACCCATGAATTAAGAAGAATTTTTACATATCTTTTAAGTAAGTTTTTCTAAGAATAAGATGTGATGGAGCCCATGCCTGGCCCACAAAGCTAAAAATATATACTATCTAACTCATTGGAAAGTTTGCAGACCCTTGACTTAGAACATGTTTTAGCCTGTATTAGTAACTGAGTTAAACATACACATACATACATATATATGTATGCAAATATGTATATACACATATTCACAAATACATATGTATGTATAAAGACATTTATTGTAAGGAATTTGCTCACCTGATTATGGAAGCTGACAAGTCCCAGGATCTGTAGTTTGCAGTCTGGAGACCCAGGAAGAGCTGCTCTTTCAGTAAGAGTGCAAAAGCAGGAAAAACCAACCTCCTAGTTTGAAGGCATGTAGGCAGGAGAAATTCCCTCCTATCCGTCTTACTCCCTAGGGTCAGCCTTTTTATTCTCCAGGACTTTGGCCGACTGGTTGGGCCTACTGTGTTAGGGAGGGCAGTCTGCTTTATTCAGTCTCTTGATTCAAATGTTCATCTCATCCAGAGACGCCTTCACAGACACACAGAGTAATGTCTGATCATGTGTGTTGCCACCCTACGGCCCAGTAGCTTAACACAGAAAATTAACCATCACCTGACCACTCATCCCCACAAACCTGTAAATAGCTTTTCTAGGAAAAACTCATCTTCTTCAGGTTGAGTAATCAAAAAGAAATGAACACAGGAACACAGTATTTCTATAAACATACCAAAAAGCAAGAAAAGAATAGTAATAACTAATGCAGATTGAGTATTTATCAGAAAACTGTCGCCATGAAATAAAAATTGAATGTAATTATTTTATCACAAATTTTAAAAAACTTATTAAAGCAGGAACTTGTGCTTCTGGCTATGACAGATTAGTTTATATCATACCCACCACCTCACCAAGAACTGGATTTTTTAAAAAATTGTCCTAATATGGTAGGACTATTTCCTACAGTATTTATCTGTGGAAGGCATTGGGGAGATAAGAAGGCAGCCGTCATTACTGACCAAGATCCTGCAGAGCAGTAATGCAGGGAGATGAGCCCAGCACTCAATGCCATTTTTCCCCTTGAGGCATTTGCTGATACAAAAGCAGTAGCCGAAGATCCAGGAAGCTGAGCACAGTATTCCACAGCCATACAAGTTTGAAGAGGTGAATACAAGCTTTCAGTTGGACTCATTGAAAGGCTACATTTTAGGAATATGAGTGAACCAGAAAGAGATGAAACCTCTCACGGACTGAAACCTAGCCTCCAAGTAACTCAATACCTGACCTGTCTTGAGTCTAAATGCCTGCCAGAAGTAAAGGTAAATACTCTGCAGGAAGATGCTATACAGAGTGTCAAATTACCCCTAAAACTTGTATACAAAATGTGTGGCATACATTAAAATAGTTACCATGCATCCCAGGAGATAAAACTAAATCAGTGAAAACCAAGAGTAAAAATATAATAGCAAAAACAAAATGAAAGAAAAAATGAAAAAAATTAGTTTGTATAAGCAAGCCCACAGGATTCCCATCAGAATTTTCATAAATGAGATTTTAAAATAACTGTATGATAAAAAATGGAAGACACAAAGAATTTTAGCAGGTAACTGGAATATATACAAAAGAGTCAAATAGAACATCTAGAAGTGAAAACTAAAATAACCAAAATACCCAATAGAAGATTTTAACAGCAGACTGGAAAAGGCTGAAGAGAACAGTGAATAAGTAAAAAATTTTGGACTAAAGTATGGGTAGAGATTAAAAAGGATGGACATACATAAAAGAGGATGAAGATGAAGAGGATGTGATGAAAGGATCTGATGTACAAATACTTGCTTTCCCAGATGGAGAGGATGGTCTGTGACATAACACCGTATTTGAGGAAGTAATGGCCCATAATTTTCCAAAACTTATGAGAAACATTTAGGTACAAATTCAAGGAATGCCACAAACCCTAAAGGTGGTAAATAGAAATCACGCTTAAAGACATCACGCTTAGAGACATCATAGAAAAACTGCTGAAAACTAGCAACCAAAGAAAGTCCTGAAAGCAGCCAGAGAAGAAAATCACATTATATTCAAATGAGTAAAAGTTAAACTGAAGCTTGACTTCCCAACAGAAAAAAATGAAATCCAAAAAGGGATCAAAACAGGGAATAAAAAGGAATGACATTTTCAAAGTGCTGGAGGATAATTGCCAACCTAGAATGCCCTATACAGCAAAAAATGTTTTTCGAAAATGAAAGCAGAAAGTAGGACTACAGAAAACTTTGCAGGACAACCTGTTTTCTTCAACAAATAAATTACAAGAAAAATAAAAGTGAGGGAGGGGAACTGCTATGGACAGAATGTGTTCTTCCAAAATTTGCATGTTGAAACCTACCCCTCAGTGTGATTGTAGGAGATGTTGCCTTTGGGAGGTGATTAGGTAGTGAGGTGGAGGGCTCATGGTGGGATTATCCTTATGAAAGCAACCCTGGACAGCCCCTCAAGCCTTCCACCCCCTGAGGACACAGCCAAAGACCACCATCTGTGAACCAAGAGCAGACCTCACCAGACTCTGAATCTGCTGGCACCTTGATCTTGGACTTTCTGGTCCCCAGACTGTGAGAAATAGATGTTTCATATTTAAACTATCCAATCTCTGGTATTCTAGTATAGGGGCCCGAATGGACCCCTACAGTCTATAAATAAAAGAGACTTACAAGATACAGGAACCATTAAGCTGTGGTTACTTGTTAGTATCATGATTCAATATGATAAACTGTTAAGCTTTTTGATATTTCGAGATAACTAGAAATTTGAACAATTACTACCTATGTGATGATATAAGGAAACTCATTAAATTTTTAAAGTATGATTATATTGTTATCTTTTGAAAGAGAGAGCCTTATTTGCAAGAGATATACACAGAAATATATATGGGTAAAATTATAGATGTCTGGTATTCACTTCAGAATAATTCAGGAGGAAGGGATAAGAAGACAGGATCAAATGAAATGACTGGCATCGAGGTGATAATTGTTGAAGTTGGCCATGGGCTCATGTGAAATAACTTATACTGTCCATTTTTCTATATACTTGAAATTCTATATTAGATTTTATTTTAAGAAGAGGATGACATGGAGACATTTACAGACCAAGAAAAAAACAAACAAACCAAAAAAAAAAAAAAAAACGAGAGATGTTGTTACTGGTGGAACCTGGGGAGTTTTTAGGCAACTGGAGAAAGTTCACAAATGTAAGAATTCAGTATAGAGAGTAAGGGGAAAGCAAAGGCAGAGGAGAATTCAGAACATTTGATGTTTCCAAATTCAGTGACCAGAAGGGTATATGATAAGAAATAGGAAGATAAGCATTTTTTAGTGGAATATGGTAAGTAATCAGATTTAACAGGCGGCATCTGAGCACCTTGCATTCCTGTTCCTGAAAGTCACATTTATCTTCAAGTGTCTTAAAACTCTCTTTCAGCTCACAACTTTGTATGAGAACTTAAGTATGCGCAACCAGCAGTTAGAAGAAGAGGTAAAAGACCTAGCAGACAAGAAAGAATCTGTTGCACATTGGGAAGCCCAAATCACAGAAATAATTCAGTGGTGAGTGCTCTTTTTAAATGTGTTTTTTGTGGGTGATTTGAACATATGGCCAAGTTTTCGTGAATTCCAGTTGAAAAATGTTTCCCTGAAGAACATAATTTTATTAATGGCCTGTTATTTATTATTGATCTGCGTCCTTCTGTATTTTCTCTTATGTTCTTCTTTTCCCCAACTGCAGCAAGTATCCCATGTCAACTCTCCACAGCTTCATTGAAAGCTGTTATTTCTAAGAGAAGAAAATGTTATTTTAAGACGGTTGGTCCTTAAAGAACCGAGAAAATCATTCACTAGCTATAGGTTCCTTTCTAAGACCAAAATTGCTATATTTGTAATTATTTTAAGAAATAGCCTAGAGAAAAATTTTGAACCTGAAGATCTGCTGTCATCTTCTTTCATAATTACAATAGGTTGATGCACAGGTCATCATAAAAACTCACATGATTACAGTTTGATTTTATTAACTATTCTTCAAGTTCTTATGATTCAATGTAGAATGAATTACCTTAGTGACTTTCCACATTCATTATTTCATCAAATATTTCTGGCATTTATAAAAATGTGTATATTTTTATAAAACATGAAGGAAATTGAACACAGCAGGGACTTTATTTTCTAAGGAAAACATATTTTTTAGATTTTTATAGTTACTTTTCAACTTTCTTATTCTTTTTGGCACATGGATGTTTAATTTTATGAAAACTAGTTTCTTTATGGATATAGACCAATCATTTGGGAATTTTAGTTTCTTGTAATCTTATTTTGGTTCTTTAAGCATTTTTTCCATTTTCCTACTTATTGCAGACTAACACCCTCCATCTTAAATTAGAAGTGGATAAACACTGTCCTTTTAAGTGATCTTACCCAAATAACTCATGTATTTTGATACAGACTGAACTACAGAGCTCTTATGTTCACTCATCTGTGGCTTATGAATGTGACTATACAGTGCATAGCTAAATGAAAATGCCCAAATTGAGGAAATTTGGTTGTGTCCCAAACAGGATAGTACCATTAATGGTTCATTAATGTTAAATTTATGTCCTTGTCATCAAGTCTACATTTCTGAAGCAAATTCATTCTAATCTTTAGCCAAGCTTATAATATCAAAAATTATGACTCTTTATTTATAACTCAATTATTATGTAACCAAATCTATAATTAAACTATTGCTGAAAAAGATGATCTGGCCAAAGCCCCAGTTCCTAGACTGCTGATCTTTTCCAGCAATAGGCATGATGGGTTCAGATGGAATGGGAAGTGTTTCTACTAAAGTAAAAATCTTTATTTTTTTTAAAGATTTTATTTATTTATTTGACAGACAGTGAGAGAGGGAACATAAGCAGGGGAAGTGGGAGAGGGAGAAACAGGCTCCCTGCTGATCCAGGACCCTGGGATCATGACCTGAGCCGAAGGCAGATGCTTAATGACTGAGCCACCCGGGAATCCCAGTAAAGAAGCTTTAAATGTAGATTCTCTGGAAAGGGTTAGTAAGAAGTATTAAGGTGAAAGTTTTTACATGATACCATGAAACACTCATTTTAGGCTTTTCACATTCAAGTGAAATGTGCATAAGAAACCAGGAATGCAGGCAAATCAGTTTGCATAAAGCTGTTATTTAGAAATGGGCTAATATATTAGGGTGCCTGGGTGTCTCAGTCAGTTAAGTGTCCAACTCTTGGATTCAGCTCAGGTCATGATCTCAGGGTCGTGAGACTGAGCATGCTGTCAGACTCCACACACTCAGCACAGAGTCTGCTTGAGATTCTCTCTCTCCCTTTGTCCTTCTTCCTGCTTGTACTCTAAATAAATAAATAAACAAAATCTTAAAACAAAACAAAAATATGGGTTACTGTATTAGATAACTAATTATTAAAACCTAATAAGGTAAAAGTAAAAGGTATACTCCCTGATCTCAGAGTTCTTACCTACTTGAATGTTTAATCTGAGATATTCTGTCCCTGCTTAACAAGGCAAGAGTCTCAGACTCTCGAGTTTTTCAGTCTTGCTATATTAAAAAATGAAGGGATGCTGGAGACAGGAAGATGGTGGTGGAGTAGAAGGGCCCTAGGCTTACCTTGTTCCACAAATACAACTAGATAACTGTCGAATCATACTAAAACCCCCAGAAATTGGACAAAAGACTGACAAAACAAACTCCCCATTTAAAGAGAGAGAAGAGACCACATTGAAGAAGGTAGGAAGTGTGGAGGCATGGTTAAGGGAAGAAACAAATCCTGGCTGCTGCAGAAGAGAGGTACCCATAGTCACAGAGAAGGGCAAGAGGGAGGAACACACAGGGGAGTGCACAAGGAGAACACCTACCCATAGCCATTGTCTTGAAAATGAGAGGGGTTAAATTTCTGAGTTCTTGGAACCAGCAGGGATTGAAGACTGGAGTTTTAAAGGTCAGCAGGCTTGGCTGAAATAGAACCTGGAGAGTACTGCATTGCTCTTGGAAAGAAGGCAGGCAAATAACCTGGGGGCAGATGGCATGGAAACAGCAATCTGAAGAGTGCCTGGGCACACAGCGGGGCGGTTTTTTGTTCTTCTTGGAGTGCAGCCCGGAGAGACAGCATTCATGGAGAGACCTCTCTGAGAACAAAAGGAGCTGGTCGCACCATTTCCCTCCCTGGCCCCTCAGCGTAAACACAGGGCCACCTGTGGGAAGATACTGGCTGCCTAACTTGGCTCTACCAAGTCCCACCCCAGGTGCTCTGGTGGAACCGCCCTTCTCAGTCACACTTACCTCAGCTGTAGTGTGGTACCTCCTTCCCCCAAAGACTAGCACAAACCCTTGCCCATACTATGTCTCCTGACCAGGCAATTTTACAGGGCCTCTAGTCCAGTGGAGGTGGTGATAGGTCTCATTTCACAAGCAGACCAAAGCAAACATAGTGAAAACTTATTACATTCAGGCCAGGGATCAAACACTGCCCACAGCAGACAAGGAGACCCTCTGTAGATGACTGGCTTGAAGGACAGAGCAACCAAAACACAATAACAGAGCACAGGCAGCACACACTTGAGACACTCCCTAATATATCAGGCCCTGGGCATGACATGACCCCTTTTTCATAAGGCCATTACTCTCAGGAGCAGGAGACATAACTGACTTTTCTAACATAGAGAAGAAGGCAGAGACTTAAAAAAAATGAGAAGGCAGAAGAATTTATCCTAAGTGAAAGAACAAGATAAAGCCATGGCCAGAGATCTAAGCAAAATAGATATAAATAATATGTCTGATGGAAACTTTAAAGCAATGATCATAAAGATACTCAGTGGACTTCAGAAAACCACGGAGGACATCACTGAGACTTTTACCACAAAGATAAAAGTTTAAAAAAGAATTAGGAGGAGTGCAATAAACAAGATTAGAAACACACTTGATACAATGAACAGCAGGCTGGAAGAAGTAGAGGAATGAATTAATGACCCAGAAGTCAAGGTAATGCAAATCAGTGAAGCTGAACAAAAGAAAGAAGAATTACACAAAATGAAAATAGACTTAAGGAACTCAGTGACTCCATCAAATGTAATAACATTTGTATTTTTGGAGTCCCAGAGGAAGAAGAGCAAGAAGGGGAGCAGAAAATTTATTTGAAGAAATAATAGCAATAAACTTCCCTAATCTCGGGAAGGAAACAAACATGCAGATCTAGGAAGCAGAGAGAACTCCCATCAAAATCAACAAAAGCAGGCCCACACCAAGACATATTGTGACTGAATTTGCAAAATAAACTGTTAAGGAAAAAAATCTTAAAAGCAGCAAGACAAAAAGAAGTCGGTAACATATAAAGGAAAACCCATAAGGCTTGCAGGAGATTTTTCAACAGAAACTTGGCAAGGCAGAAGGGAGTGATAATGATATATTCCAAGTGCTGAGTAGGAAAAATCTGCAACCAAGGATACTCTCTCCAGCAAGATTCTCATTCAGAGTAGAAGGAGAGATAAAGAATTTCCCAGACAAACAACTAAAGAGTTCATGACCACTAAACGATGCCGTAAGAAAGATTAAAGGAGACTCAGTGGAAAGGAGATACCGGAAGTGACAATATGAAGATAAGAAGCAGAAAAGCAGTAAAAAATGAGTAGTGTTGTAAAAAAAAAAAAAAAAAAAAGGCAGTCAAAAAACTTATAAAAGAGGATACGAAATATAATAGCATATACCAAAACAAGTGAAGAAGAGGAGAAAAGAATGGATTCAAACTTTTAAACAGCTGTCAATATAGACTGCTGTATGCAGAAGAGGTTATAAAAAACCTCATGGTAACCATGTATCAAAATCCACTAATAAGCATGCAAAAAATAGAGAAATAAATCCAAATTTATCACTAGAGAAAATGAGCAAACCATGAAAGAGAAAGACAATAAAGGATCAGAAAAAGTTTCAGAAACAACCACAAAACAAGTAACAAAATGGCAATAAATACGTATCTGTCAATAACTACATTGGTTATAAATGGACTAAATGCTCCAATAAAAAGACATAGTGTGACACAATGGATAAATAAGGTCCATCTATATGCTGCCTGTAAGAAACTTACTTTAGACCTAAAGACACCTGCAGGGGATGGAGAAACATTTATCATGCAAATAGATGTCGAAAGAGGCCAGAGTAACAATACTTCTGTTGGACAAAGTAGACTTTAAAACAAACACTGTAACAGACAGATAAGGGTACTGTGTCATAATAAAAGGGTTAATCCAACAGGAACATGTAACTGTCATAAATATGCATCAGACATAGGAGCACCCAACTACATAAAACAATAGGAAACATAAACTAATCAATAGTAATATAATAACAGGGACTTTAACACCCCACTTACATCAATGGACAGATGATCAAAACAGAGCATCAACAAGCAAACAGTGTCTTTGAATGACACACTGGACCAGAGGGACATAACAGATATACTCAGAACCTTCCATCATAAAACATCAGAATATACATTTTTTCAAGTGCACATGGGACATTCTCCGGTATAGATCACATATTAGGCCACAAAACAAGCTAATGCACTTTTCAATATTATAGAAGGTAGGATAGCCTATAAAATATAGTAATCTGCCTTCAAGCAGCTTATAACATACCACTGAGAAGTTTAAAAACTAATGTGAGCAGATCTAGAGATTAGTTTTGAGACTTACATGTAAGTTACCCTGCGTATTACACAGTACTGATTTTCCTGTGGGAGCATGGAGTAGAGTTACCTCAGACTGGGTACTTGAGAAAGTTGGAGATAATCATTTGAACCTATAATGAATTTTCTGAAAACCCTGAGGTTAATAACAAGTCCTATATGTAGATTGACTGATTCTGTGTTTTCATATAAAACAGTAGAAAATATGATGAGTAAAGTTACTACTATATAGTTATGAATAATGGGTAAGAATTTGAACTTTATTTATAGGAGTAAGAGAAGAGGGTTTTTTAAAAGGATACTGGCATTGATTACATCTTGAGTTAGGAAGACAACTCTTACAGTGGTGTTCAGGGTGACATGGAGGGAAGTTTGGGGAAAACTGAATAAATAGAGAAGACCTTGTGGGAGAAGAATTTATAGGACTTAATTATGAAGGAGGATCAGGAGATGAGGAAGAATTTGTATTTCTGAAATTCTGAGTTAGATTAAGAAAATGATAACACTGAAGTAGGAAAGTCAGAGAAGGAGCCAACTTTGGCGAAGATAAAATAAATTTTGTTTGTGTTATTTTGCTTATTGGTGGGTCAGGGCTTATCCTTAAGACACCTCGGTACAGAAATGCACTTTTGAAGAGACTACAGAAAGGTTGTGGGTAAAGCATATAAATTTGGGGATTTAATCCCTAGTCAATAAAGCCATTGAAGTTGTTGAGAACGTTTTAAGGAGGAAAGAACGATAATATGGTAAGGGCAGCATATAGAAGGTAGAGGGCAGCTAGGAAGATGTATTCATAATCAGCGAAGGGTCAGGTATCAATAATAACACTTTTATTTCCCTTTATTTAAATTCCCTCACATTATTTGAACTGTTCCTCATTCATTAGTCTTCATTTATGGATAATCCTAGCTTGTACTGATTACAACATAGTATGTTCCAGACATTGGGCTGAAAAAATAGGGGATTCTCATTCAGTTATTACAACAGTCTTAAGAGGTAGGATCATTATCTCCACTTTGTAGGTGAGATAGCAGAAAGCTAGAAAGAGGTAAATGACTCAGCCCAAGTCCCACAGCTGGTGAGCAGTGAGTTAGGATTTGAAACAAGGTCTGTTTGACTCAGTCAAGTTCTTAGTCACCCTGTTGTGTGTGTACTACCTCCCTGACATTTTAAGGACCATATCTTATAGATATTCTCTGTCTCCCTTGTATGCCTCATGCAATGGTATTAATAACTATTTCTGCATTAATTATTTGGAAGAGCATGGGAGGAAAGGATTAGCTATGTCAGAAGACCAAAATAGATTGAAATTGGCCTTTTATAGTCGAGTAGTTATTTGAATAAACTGGTTTCAGCAAACTAGTTGAAGTAGAAATCAGACCTGAGAAAGTATGTAGGGAGTGAGGGGTTATATACTAGAGTCATTGGATAGGAGTTGTATCACAATGTCAGGGAGAGGGACTGGGACAGGAACCTCTCCGGATTAGAAAACGTCTGTGTGTGTTTACAATAGTAAATGGAAATGAAGAAATTGAAAACATAAGCTGTTTTCAGAGAAGGTAATTATTTGTATATATGTGGGATGAAGAATACACTTACATGACTTGGCCAAAGAAAAGGTGAGGGACTTAGTTGCCTCTACAATTAAAAAAAAAAAAGTTAAAATGAGCACAAGTCAGCTTCTCCAGATGGCCTAGAAGAAAGGGGAAGACAGTGCTGGGCTGTGGGAAGTGAGACTTTAAGGGTTAAGGTTGGAAACAGACAAATAGCAGTGATTCCGAAAAGGAATTGTAGGAGACCAGGAATTGTAGGAGACCGGGGCCCAGTCGAACTTAATTGGTAGGAGTTTGTAACTGACCTGTCTTTTTTTTTTTTTTTTAACCCTTTCCTTCATTTATTTTCTGTAGCCAAGAAAATAGATACAGCTTTAATAAAAACTTGAGACTTAGTGGGGAGACCACATGGGTCAGGGAATGTGAAGGTATTCAGCATGCAAATAAAAACATATTTATAAGAGATTGGGTTTTATTTGAAACATTAAACAGCATGACAGGCATGTACAAGAAGTTACTGCTTTCCGGAGTTAAGGAAACCTGCAGGAAGATGCATGAGCCAAGATGGCCATGGTAGGGCACTAAAGCGGTGCTGGTTGGGGCCAATTAGCCTGGCCCTTTCAGTGATAATACAGTTTTCTTAAGTGTCTTTCTCGGTACTCTAAAAACTGTAATCTTCCTTCATCTCCACTTATTTTTTATCCTGTAGCTCAGATGATTAAATCAAAAGGTCGTGGTAATTTGTGATATCCAAAGTTAAGGAATTTTAAAGGAAACTGCCTCCCACTACACAAACAATATTTTCTAAAATCATTTTCCTTTAAAAGGCCATGAAAATATATACATGTATATAGAGCCTGAAGATATGTAACGAACTAGGCTGGGCACATTTTTACAATGATTGTATCGCTTTTATTGTTAGATTGTTTTACTTGTCCTCCAGTACACCTTCCCATCTAAGAGAAAAGAGAACCAAATCCCTTTTAAAGGGCCTCTTTAAGATATATGAATAGAGATATATGAATTTGACTCCTCAGGAGTTGAAATTCTAAAAGATGTTAAAGCCAAGTCCAGGATTTCAGTTTGTCTGCTTTATGCATCAGATACTCACGGATAAACCTGAAATATACTTTCCTCATAACTATTCAGTGGCCTCAATTGTATTCATGAGAATAGCCAGCCTTCCCAAAGGCAAAGAGTGTTCCCCAGAGTGTATTAGAATACTCTTCTAAGCACTGCAGACTTCAACTCCTCTTTTTTTCTTTGTGCCAATTATAGCATTCTATATACTAATTGTTTTCCTTCTTCTTTAGGTTAGGACCTTCTTTTATAGATTTTCATATGCTGGCAGTGCTTATCCTTGTCTTGCCCTTGTTTTGAAGGAGATGTAATAAAATACAAACTTACTCTTGATAAATTCTGAAATGTAGAAAAAATGTCATTGAATATAAATTGGAAATATTTCTATCTAGGATCATAATAGTTGCATCAGCAAGATAGTCTTAAGACAGTTACGAGTTTCAGTAAGCTTTAATCTTTTCCTTTTGGTTGGTATTTTATTGACCATTTTAGAAAACAGAGGAGCTTTATTGCAGTACAACCCTGATTTTTGCAGAATATTTTACTTTAAACTTTTTAAATATAGGGTACTTTAGTTTTTAAAATGATGAGTTTTGTTTTCATAAGATAAAATGGCAGGACCCAATTACTGAGAAATCTTAATATTCTTTAGAAATCATGTATATATGTGTGTTTTTAATATTAGATTAAAAGAGTATTCTTTGGTTCAAGGGCGAAATTTCACTAATTTATCAGGTACAAGTAATTTGAACTTTCCTAAACGTGGCCAGCTTTAATTCTTAGATAACTGAAACAGTTTAGTAAACCTCTTCCCCCTTGTTGTCAGGCAGTAGTGCTGTGGTAGACCTTTTGAAAGAAGACATTTCAGTTATTTCTTGTATGAGGCTTTAAAAACACTGTATTTCTCCCTGAGGTTTTTCTGTTTGTGTTACTTTTGTCCTTTATCTATATGTGTATGTATTCCAGGGTCAGTGATGAAAAGGATGCACGAGGGTATCTCCAGGCCTTAGCTTCTAAAATGACTGAAGAGTTGGAAGCTTTGAGAAATTCCAGCTTAGGTGCTCGAGCAACAGTAAGTTCTGCCATTTTGCCTGGAGAATTACCATAAGGGGTGGGTAGGGAGGCTCAACACACTCTAATAAATCGGAACACTTTTATCAGTTTGTCTAGGGTTTAGTTCCCTGGAAGGTTTTTCATGAGAATTCACTTAGTCCAAGTCTTTGCCAGTTTAGGAAGTCATAACATATCACTGCTTAACCGTAACTCGTATAGTAGCCGTTATTGATAATAATGATGAAAAAATAAACTCCTTTATGTGTGGGTCTACAATTATTGCTGAATTTAGAGAAAAATAATATATTTTCACAAGCAGTGTTTCATTTCTGTTCTGTGATAAGAGAAAGTAGTGCTTTTAAGTAGTTTCTAAACTTACTTGCATTAGTGAATTTAAACATTAAGGAAAAAATAGGATGGGGCTAACAACAGTTATATTATTTGGTAGGATATGCCCTGGAAAATGCGTCGTTTTGCAAAATTGGATATGTCAGCTAGACTGGAGTTGCAGTCAGCTCTGGATGCGGAAATAAGAGCTAAACAGGCCATCCAAGAAGAGCTGAATAAAGTTAAAGCAGCTAACATCATCACAGAATGGTAAGGTTGAATGATAGAGTCTACTAGAATAATTTCTAAGGTGGTCGAAAAGTATTTGGGGAGAAGTTTCTTATTTATTTCATACGTATCGCTTTTTTCTTTTAAGTAATGTCCAGAAAAATTTATGGACATTTGAAAATGAATAGATGTTTTTAAACCTTATTTGCAGATACAGGATTTTAATATAACCTTGTTTTCCTCTGACTTATCCATAAAGTGGAATTAATAGTGCTAATTAATATTTTATTATTTATTTTTCCCCTTATTGGTAAAATTTAGTTGACTCTCAAATTCTCTTCCATTAAATTCAAAATTCTCTCCTTTACAGGAGTATCATATTTGTATAAAAAAGCAACATATATTCAGGGCAAAATACAGTCATCTGGGGATTCTGGCCTCTACCGTAGATCTTTTACAAAAGAGGTTTTCTTGATAATAAATTTCAGAATAGTATAACAAATTCTAATTATTTCTTCCTATTCATTTATGCCTTAAGAAAAAGTATATTCCTCCAGTCTGAGATAATCCTGGATAACGCCATTCCTTCAAGCCTCATTACAACAGTAGAGCAACTTATACTCTGAATAAATAAATGATAAAATGAAAATCTTAATTGGATTGGAGATACCCATGGTTCAAGAATAAGTCTGTATTGGTGATATGGAGAAACAGTAGAAAGTTTGTGTTACAAATCAACATATAAATAGAAAAATCCATTTGGTGCTGGAATAGCAGAGTTCCAGAAGCATTCATCGTGAAAAGAAATATAACCCCATAAATTCCGTTTGTAATGGTATGAAGCCTTAGTCCTTAAACTGTAATCATTAATGTTTTGAATCCAATTAAAGGTCAGCTGTCTTGGCACCCCACTGAATTATAAACTCTTGTTACAAATAATCCAGACATAAGTATGTTTTGCGTAAATGTGCTAGGATGACATTGAAAATGCAAGAGAACGTTTCCTGGAGAATGTGAGTTGATCCTAGTACAAAGAGCTGCTCAGTGTCATTCTGTGTTGCAGTTAGAACAAGTGTGAGCTGCCTTCCCGTGCTTGGGACGCAGGCGTTTGCACATTCGCTCATAAACCAGACTGTGAATAAAACTGGAAACTACAGATGTACTCATAAAAATGGTCCACTTTCATGGTTCTCTGTGGAAGAGTCTAAGAAAATCCTTAATTTAACCTCTGATTTTATGACATTTTAAGATCAAATCATTTAGCTCCGAGTCAGCATCTTTTTCTGTAAAAGGCCAGATACTAAATATTTTCATCTTTGCGGACCCTATTGTCTCTGTCCACTCAACTGCGCTGTTGTGCAAAAGCAGCCAGAGACGATCTGTGAGTGAATGAGTCTGGCTTGTTGTGGTAGAAGTTGGTTTGTGCAGCAGTAGGTGACCAGTGGGACTTGTCCTTCCTGCGGTGGTTTGACTTCCCTGACTTGATGAGACTGACTAAACCAGGAAGCTCTGACTACGTACTGTAGGATGGCTCACTAACCAGCAGTAAGAATAATGACATTTTTCCTTTTTTTCCCTTACTGAAGTAAACTAAAAGATTCAGAGAAGAAGAACTTGGAGCTACTCTCAGAAATCGAACAACTGATAAAGGACACTGAAGAGCTTAGATCTGAAAAGGGTATGAGAATGTGTTTTGCATCAATCAGGGCTTATTCTGTTGTGAATGTATTTTATTACCCGAGCATCTGCGTACATGGAGGTCGGAGAATCGTTCACACTAACCACGCTGGTACTCACTGATGGATATGTGTATGCGTATGTGACACTCACTCTCGCTAGACTGGTCTCAGAGTCCTTCTGTTGTACTTAATATACCTGGCTTAAAGATTTGATAGTAACAGAAAAACTCACTTTGCCATAAATTGGACTGTTTTTTTATTTTTTCAGTGCCATGGATAATTTCACAAATAAGATTTTTGTGATTGGAAAAAAAACTATTTTTTTATACTTTATACTCTTTTTCAAATGGTGTAAGATTCACTTCCAGGGTAGTTGAGAAAACAATGTGTGAAGTAACTAAAGATTAATCTAATCCTGTGTTAGAAGGCAATTCAGCGACGAACTGTTTTGGCACTTCATTGTTTTCTTCCACGTTTGATTCTTAAACCGCCTGTCTTGCGGGATTTCTCAGGATTTATTCCCATTTTCTTGAAAGCATTACCTGAGCATGTTTCCATCAATGTGAAAAGTAACTCAAAGTGCGTGGCGGCTATTACAGGAAGTTCTTAAACTTCCTTTCCATAATGTGGGCATTAAGAACCTGAGGATTTAATACAAAGAAATTCAGAATGTTGTTTTCTCAATGAAGGGATCTCTCCTATGCAGTTATTAGAAATTCATAGTCCTGGGGTGCCTGGGTGGCTCAGTCTGTTGAGCATCTTACTCTTGATCTCAGGTCGTGAGTTCAAGCCCTGCATTGGGCTCCACGCTGGTCATGGAACCTACTTTAAAAAAAAAAAAAAAGAAAGAAAGAAATTCATTGTCCTGACAAAGTCAGTATTCCTGACTGAATAGTGAACTAATTTAATGGCTTTACGTTATGCATACATTATGTGATGCTCCCCTATTTCTCAGTCCTGTGACACAGTGATATCTAGCTTGTTGGGTCTCTGCCTCTGCTTTTTAAAAATTGTGGAGAAAAAATAAAATTGTGGGGGAAAGAGAGGGTATCACATAAACCAGTTGACATGAAAAACCCTTAAAAGTCTTAGATGTTCAAAAAATTTTTGAATTTCCTAGTGAACTAGAAAGGAACGGACCCAGCAGAAGTGAATTAGGAATTCACACTGAGCACAAGGCTTCACACTAAATTGAGAATCAAGCAGAGTTTTCAAACATGAAGAGTGGAAGGGAGCTGCATTATTTAATGTGTAGAGGAAAAAGAATATGTAAGACCTGGAGGACCTGTAGCCCGAAAGGCAGTTTATACAGAAGAGAGACCAGTGCAGAGCGTGACTAACACGCCTCATGTTACTGACTGCATCATTTTTAGAACAGATCTAAACTTGCAGAAGAAATAACTTAAGTTTATCATATTGTTTTATGAAAGCATGTTAACCTATAACTTTTATTTGGATTTAGAACATTGTAGAATAATAAAGTTTTACTTTATGTTGTAACATCATGTACTAGACTATTTAACTATAATATCATATTTATATAATGAAGGCAAGGATATTTTTTCTGCTGTGTTTACTAATATATCCTGGTATCTAGACAAGGTTTTGGCACATAATAGGCTCTCAGTAAATATTTATTGACTGGATGAATTTCTGAACATAGTGCCTCATCTGGCATCTGTGATGTTTGTTAATAGAGAGTAGTATGAAAGCCACACAAATTAGCTGATGTCACTTCCTAAGGATATGGAATGAAAAATGGGTGCTTGGTTGTTTCTGCTTTTTCCTCGTTAGTATTTATCATTGTATACATATTTTAAGAATTATTTTGGAAATTATGCATTTGAAGTTAATACCATAACCAGCAAATAGGCATCAACTTTTAAAACTTTATCTGAGAAAAACTAGGGTATGAGTGATTTATTCTATCAATAAAACAATACCTGAAATAAAACTGAGGCCTTGACAAATGTTTTTTCATAACTAAATACATTTGTTTTCTCACTACATTATTATAAGAGATTATTTATATTAGTACATACTATATATGTTTGTACATATATAGTATGTATATATTAGTATGAGTATATATTAGTACATACTATATATAAGCTATATGTTTGCTAAGAGTTTTTCAAAACAGAAACCTTGTTTGGTGATAAATTAGCTGAGAAAAATCAGACATAACCATGTTTTTAAAATTCTCCCAAGTCTACCAGGGTTTACTGTGTTTCTTATGATGTGCTATATGGGAAAAGAAAGAAATTCAAGACCTCAAGTCAGGAAACAAGTATGTCCTGGAGACTGATAGAACTGTTAAGTGATATTCTAAGAAACAGTAATATAGTTTATTAAACATGTAGAGTTAATAGTATTTTTCAACTTTAAAATATGGTAGCTTGTGAACAGCTCTTAATAGACGCAGACAGGAGAGGTTATCCATTAGAATTAGTTTAAACTGTTCTAGTTTTAAAAAAAGTTGCTGCTGTCTTCTAGGTATAGAGCACCAAGACTCACAGCATTCTTTCTTGGCATTTTTGAATACGCCTACCGATGCTCTGGATCAATTTGAAGTAAGTATTAAGCTTTTCAAGTATTCCCTGCGGTCCATTTAAAATTCACTTTGTGATTTGAAATTTATTCGCAATGAAACTGTTTTATTGCCTCCCACATAAAAGGACCTAGAATCTAAACGTGTTAGGAAAAGAGTATGTTCTGCATTCTTACAGAAACTATAATCACATTTGTATTTAAAACAGATCTAAATATGAGAGTTGTAATATTTAAAAGAAATTTCATCTCTTCCCCTGAGTGTTGGCAGAACAAATCCGAACACCTGAAATAATTTTGACACTTATCTTTTTTATCCCAAGCATAGAGCCGCAATTTAAAAAAAAAAAAAAGTGAAAAAGGTCAAATCTCACAATAGGGCAATGCTGGGTCTGGCTCCAAATCAGTTCGATTATTTTAGAAGTTTACAATAGGAATACTTTTTGTTAAAAGTATTACATAGAGTGTATTAGGCAGTATATTTCATAATAATCAAAATAGTGACTCTATGACTGTCCTTCTTTGGGGCTTAAATGCTTTAAGGGGTAAAAAAAATAATTTTCTGATATAAAGTATATTTTTGTCTCAGAAAATTCAGGTTAGTGATTATATCTTTGTTAAACAAATAATCACAAGTCTCTACGCAGAGCACTGTTCTAGGTGCTGGATGGAGATAGAGTAGTGACGAAATTCATCAAGTCCTGTTCTCAGAGAGGTTACGTGCCAGTGGGAACAGCTAGAGGCCAAGAGATTCTGCTACTCGCTTGTAATTATTACCCTTCTAAAGTGCTTCGTTTATTTGAGTATTAATGATTTGCCATGCGCTTCATCTTACTATATTTTGGGCACAATGTATGCATTATATTTCATTCCTTTGGGAAAGGAAAAAAGAACCACGCTTTTAAAAATAATTAATGGATTTCTAAGTTTCTTGACAAACGATGCCAATGACTGCTTTTCTCATTTATTTATTTGAATTAATGTCATTTGCCTTTCAATTGTTTTACAAGATTTTTGATTTATTATTTGTTCTTATTAAATTGCTTCATCCATATTTTCTATTTTTTATTGCTGTATTCGTTAAATAGGATTCCTTTTCTTCTTCCTCATCTTCACTGATTGATTTTTTGGATGACGTAAGTCTTTGATTTTCAAACCAATGCATCCTTCAGTAAAAGACATCAGTGAATTGAATTGAAGAATTTTGCCTAGTAATGCAGTCAGTTTTAGAAATATCATACCTGTTAATTTATTTGTGAGACAAAATTTGCTTCTTATCTGAAATATAATGAAGAGTTTATCTTTATTAAACATAAGAAAGTGAAAATGTACTTTGAAAAATGCTTTGGCCATCAGAGAATCTTTATTTCCTTTCTTTGCAACAATTCTGAAGACTGGAAGGCTTATTTGATTATTGTAACTATATACATATGTTTATAAAAATGCTCATTTTTATATTTCATGGTGATTTCTATTTCACATTCCCCTTTTTGGCACTTTGCCATTTTTCTCTGTTTGAAGTAAACTTCTGGTGGTAAAATCAAATCATAATATCTGAGTACAAATCAGTTTTTAATGCTGACAGAATTTCACTTACAATGTGGAAATGATTTCGTTAACATATGTGCTACATGCACTATAAATTGACTGCACTACCATTTTCTCTCCTAAATTAATAATATCCATTTGATAATTTAGAAGTCCCTAATGTATATTATTCATTCTGTTTACTCAAATACCAAATGTACGCATTCTCTCTATTCCACATTAAATTCCACATTAAAAATCCTTGTCATGTCGAACATATAACCTTTCTAGAAACTGGAAAATAAAATGGGTTCAAATGCAAATGTTCTACATAGCACCAGTTTTTCAACCAGGGAAATTTTTGTATGTCTGATTCTTTGTGTTTTGCTAAACATAATTCTTATATTCAGAAAAGTATTTCGTATAATTGTCCACTTAAGAAAACTCTTGATCTAGATTTTTTTAAAAAATTTTTAAGTGATTTTTTTTTCTTTGAAATATTGTACCCAAGTGTACTCCTTTCCATTCTGAATGGAAGCTATTTCATTATTCTTGAGACAGTTGTTTTAGTTAATTCTACAGTGCAATAAAAAGGACTGTCTTAAGGTATAATAGTATTTCATGTTATAATCTACTGTATATCTCACTGTACTAAAATATTCAATATAGTATGTCCATAGAAACATCTTTCACTTGAGAGAGAATGGGAAGTTCAAATAAATTATTTTAACTTCCTTCCACTAGATAGAAAACATCCCATTTTTTTTCTAACAAACTCTTCTCTGCATTCCGTTTTCTCCCACAAAAACAATGAATGTAGAACCTAGAAGTTGTATGTATTTTGACAGATAGTTTCGTTCTGCTCAACCCAAGGGCTGTAGGAATGTGCGCTGTCCGGCGCCCGCCTTGTCTCTGCTCTCTTGGCCGCTGCCTGTAGCGAAGAAGCCTCCTGCCTTCAGTTTCCTCCGGGGAGGAAGCTTTCTTATCCTTCACCCGCTAGCACTCAGCCTAAGTGCAGTTCACATGTAACACTGGGTTTCAAACCAGCACAAAGGAACTCCTATCATAAGGGGAAAAGGAGTTGAGTTGACACATGCTGAATCTTTGTGAATCAGGCTTTAGCTCTTAAAAAGCCTGGTTTTTCCTTCATTTGCTTCCTGAGTTCTCTTCTTCCAGTTTATTGATTAAGTGCATAAGGGGACTCAGATGCTGCCTCAACCACTTTCTGGGTGTATGGTTGGGAGCGAGTTCCCTAACCTTTCCAATAGGTGAGCCCCAGTTTGCTCATCAGAAGAGCAAGGATAATAGTAATAGTGGTACTGCCCCAGAGGTTGTGTGCGAATTTAAAGAAACAAGGTGTGTAGAGCCCTCAGTAACACTGGTTATTGTTTCCTTATTCGTAATAGGCCGTTCACCTCCCTTCCTGCATTCCCTTTAGCTTTCTTTCTTGTCCGGGAATCCAGTATGGCTTAAATGTTTCCTTGGCCTTCTGCTCGCCTTCCACCCCCCACCAGTCCGAGTCAGTGTTCTCCCCACTTGTCCAGCCACAGGTTCGCTGCACAGTGAGGCTTGCATGTCAGGGAGAAGGGCAGAGTAAACGCCCGTTTAAAAAAAAAATTGCTTGTATTCTTCATATTTTACTGCATAAACCTCTGTTTATAGTTGATGATTATGACTGCTCTTCCCAGAGTTATTATTCATTTCATTCTCAAAGCTGGAGTAGAGTGATGTTTTGAAAAATGGTATTTGATCCTCGGCATGCTTGCGTTTGGAATCTGGGATGCTTAGTGTGAAACCCCACTTCTGGTACTTTCTTTCTCTTCGGCACTTGGAAGCTTAAGGAATAGAATCAACCTTGATTGTTCTTTGCACAAGAACTAGTTAAGAGTGTTGAGCAAGACTGCCCCCCACCCCTGTAGTAAGTGGATTATAAACCTTAACTAATGCATACAACGCATCCTCCAGTCATTCTTTCTCATTTCTATTTCCGAGAAATAGATGACATTGAAGACCTAGAATTTGAATTGCAGCAGGAACTTGTAGGTTTAGTAAGGGGTAAAGCCGGAATTCAGCCAGATTGCAGAAATGAAACGTTCTTTGGTGTCCATACACCATAGATCTTGCCCATCTGCTCCCTGTGGCCTAGTGACCTCATACTGCCCTCTGATTCTCTAGAACCATACCACCAGCACATCCCCTCCTCCAAAATGATGCTTTTTTCCTTAAACCTCTTTATGGGTCTATTAACACAATAATTCTTTTTACATGAAATTGTACCGAGAATCACTCTCCCACCTCCAATTTTTCCTCAGTGTGTTTTGCTTGTTAGTTCAAAATTTAAGTGAATGCCAGAATTTCTAGCAATATGGGAATACATTTGGAGCCGTGGGCTTCCCTGTTAAGTTGCGTGGTTTAGACAACTTTCTGGTGAGTCGAGTTTCCAGCAAAAGCAGCCTTGACAGGAGAGCAATGTATGCGACCCAGGTCCTTCCTCCCCCCTCACCCCCAACTCAGGTGAAGCAGAAGATGGTCTTAGCACCTTGCTTCTGTAATTCAGGACAACTCGGGTAGCTGGGCTTTTCTCCATGTAGAATCCTAGGCTTCTGACAGAGAAAAGAACCACAGAAAATATTTAGTCCAGTGCTTGTAACTGTGGTTGATCACAGCATTCTCCCATTAGTGGATTATTTACCCCCCCATTAGTAAAGCTTTAGGATTCTCTCTTTGTAGGAATAGAGAAGGGTTCGCAACAGGGTTATGGATGATATTGTTTAGGGCAGATAAGGGGGTGGTTTAGTTCATGGTAAACTGACGTCACTCTGACCACTTTATGTCTTGGATCAGGCATTTCCCAGTGCGGTGAGACACCAGTGATGGCAGTGAAATGGACTCCAGGGTCCTTCTGCTGTGGAAATCATTTCCTCTTGAACTTGTCTTTTCTTGAAGCCCCATACACCCAGTCCTAGGCTACCTGGGGGGTGGCTCCATGTTAGGCCACCCCCAAACAGGGTGAGGGGCAGGCGGAGTCAGTAGCTTGGGCTCTTCCCCATCTGTTCCCTGCATCGCAGTGGCCGGAAGTCCGGGGATGGTCAGACCGGCTTGCAAACTTTCCATCCTGTTCTGGTCATTTTCTTCTTTTTGGTTGAGCCCCCAAAATACTTGGCTTGACTGTATTAAAGGTCATACTAATTATAGTCCTATAAGTGAACTACTTGTTCTTTATATTTGGTAAACATATTGTCATTTATTAAATCAATGCCAGGTATGTTTTGAGTTTTATTTAAATTATAATTCTACGCTCTGCTCATATGGGCCAAATTCACAAAAAATGGGAATTGCCCTCTCACCTGGCAAATGAGAGTATGCCAGCTTGCTTTCTGGAGGCCATCTTACTCTGGTGTACTGAGGAGAGAGTAAACCAAGGAATTAAAGGTGTAGAATGAAAAGTTCAGACATGAAGGAATAGAGTTAGTCCCAATCGTCCCAACTGTCTGGTCCTCCTAACACTGCTCTCTTATATCCTGGCATATGACAAGAAGCAAGTATCTGAGAGTATTGGCAGGCCAAGTTCTACTCCTTGTTTGGCTCTGTAATAAAATCTTGCCAACATGTCCTAAAATATTTAATTGCATTCCTGGCTCCTAGCTTCCTTCTCTCATCTCTTGCTTTTAGCATCATCGCCCCCCCCCCCCCAGCTTCTTTAATAATCTATCATAACCCATCACAGAAATCTGAGGTATGACAGCAATGTGTAGCTGTATCTGGGGAAAGTTGATCAGACGGGAGAATCAATGGAAAATAGAATTTTAAAATATACATTATGAAGATCTTTTAATCCTGTGACCCAGACCAGGCCTAGATCCTTCTGAGAAATTGTGGCAGTCCTGGTATTTCCTCTTTCCTTTTCTTTTTTTTTAAGATTTTATTTATTTATTTGACAGAGCATACAAGGAAGGGGAGCAGCAGGCAGAGGGAGAAGGGGAAGCAGACTCCCTCAGACCAGAGAGCCCGATTAGGGGCTTGATTCCCGCACTTTGGGATCATGACCTGAGCTGAAGCCATACACTTAACCAACTGAACCACCCAGGCCCCCCCTGATATTTCCTCTTTCAGTTTTTTTTTTTTTAATCTTCCATCCACATATTAAATACAACCCAAACTAAAACTCTTCCATTTCAGAAGATTGTAATATGCAGTCCTTCCCTAATTTAGGCATCATTATGTATTATTTTATATATACAATATGTTTTTATTGTATATTATATATTCTAACATATTTAGACAATCTAGAGAGAAAGAACCATGACTACCTAGTCTTTTACTCTTCAGTATCTTACTTTAAAAGGCCTTTGGAATTCATTAACTGAATCTTAAAATCTATTTGCCAGATTATTTAAGATAAATTACTTCTGGGGCGCCTGGGTGGCTCAATGGGTTAAAGCCTCTGCTTTCAGCTCAGGTCATGGTCCCAGGGTCCTGGGATCGAGCCCCGCATCGGGCTCTCTGCCTGTCAGGGAGCCTGCTTCCTCCTCTCTCTCTCTCTCTCTCTCTCTCTCTCTCTGCCTGCCTCTCTGCCTACTTGTGATCTCTCTCAAATAAATGAATAAAATCTTAAAAAAAAGATAAATTACTTCTTTTGGTTTCTGCTTATGTGCTTACTTCCATAATCAACCAGAAATTTATAGTGGCAGTTTTACACCAGATATAAAATGCAGTTTCAATGGTAAACGAAGACAGCATACTGCTTTCTAGCATATGCTGGAAGACCAGTTTCACTGTTAGTAGAAAACTGTGCTTGTGAGAGTGTGTATAAGAGAAAGTGTGTGTAGTGTGTGTTCCTCCAATTGTATTATCAGGAAATAGTCGAATTTCTCCTTCTCTATAGAAAATATAAATATCGCTCTCTGACTTCCAGGTAGACCCTTTAGGAAGAACATTATTCCTATGGTAATTTCATACCATTATTAGCTTTATATTGTGTCAGCCTGGACACTGTTGTCCTTCATATGCAGGGCTGGTTTTGAGAGACATGTTGACTTGTTTTTAGCATAGTGGCAATATAGTTACTTTGAGCTACTCCTGCCTCTCTTCATGGTTTCAGCACACTCCCGACTCTGGTCTAGAAGTGTAGGGATACCCAAAAAGTAAAGATATCTCTGTTTTAAACATCTCAGCATGTTCTATACTTTGTAGTTTGCACAGTGGTTGCTGCTAGGATAAATCCAATATAGAAGTAGGCCTAGAAATGCTTCTCTTGCTGTTAGAAAACAAATCTATAGTTAGACTGCGCCGAGTAGAAAGCGACGAATGCCATAAGAAATAATTAGGTATAAAGTATTGCAGAATGTCAGAAGGATTCGTTCAGTATTTATGAAGGATTTTTACATCTACAGGCTTTATGATAAGCATGTTGCAGATCCTCAAGGATCTGAATCTGATGGAAAAAGCACACATGTAAATAAATAATTGTAACGCAATTGGGAGAAGCACGATGATAAGAGGTACAGACTGTCTGTCATGGAGTGTAAAGGAGAGCTACCTGACCAGCCTGGAAGGCTGCAGAAAGGCTTTCTGAGAGAACTGAGGGCTGAGCAGGTCCTCGTGGAGGGACAGGTATGGCCCGCAGAGTAAGAGGAGCTGAGAAAGACGGGTGTGTGCTAGGCAGGCAGCCTGTGGTTAGGGAGGGGAGTTCTGCTTAAAGCAATAGGAAGGACTGGACGAAAACACAAAAACTTCCTTAGGAACCTGTAGGCTTCCTAATCCTGGTTTGCTGTTAGCTCTTTGGGACACCGTATTCAGGTCACCCGCCTTCCGAGTCTCCTAGAAAGAAATAAAGGTTTCTGCACACCAGTCTGGCAGAGTTGTACAGATGACACCGACTACCTGGAAGGGTGTTTCTTATCCTTCCAGTTTTCTCTGAGGTCCGTAGCCCCTGTAGGTCAGTTTATAAATTCCCTCCTCTAGATCCCACTATAAATCCCCCCTGCCACTCAGCTTCCCAGAGAACTCTGCTGCTAACCTCTGTCACAGTGTTTGTGACACTGATGGCCTGGTGTCTTCCCCACCAGTCTGTGAACCTGACCTATTGCAAACCCTCAATAGATGTTGGGATCTGTTGAATCTAGGGAATTGCCAGAGGCAGATACAGCTTATATTTATAAAATTCTGCTATTCACACATCACCAAGTTCCAGACACTTGGGAGACATTTCAGTTCCGTTATTACCTACTTACTGTTATTGCTGCTTTTTCCTAATTACTTAATCTTTAATGTCTGAAAGGTGAAGGTCCTTCTTGACTTGAACCTAATGTCTCGTCAGGTTGGACAGTATTGTTGAAGTAACTTTTTGTTTTAATTCTTTATCAGTAGTCCTGAAGGCCTAATTTAGCTTTTGTCATTTAAAAGCCTCATCTTTGAAAACCAGAAGAATTTGGTAGGTAAAAGACTGTATTTTATTAAATGCCATCTGGCAGTAAACCAGAATTATTTGGATCCTTTTTGTTCTCACGTTTTCAGTTGTTCCTCCCAACCTTTGCAGAAAAGGAACTGCCCATCGCTTGATGGAGCATTATTTTGTGGGTCACTGTTGCCTGGGGTCCTGTGAAAGCTTGACTGTCATTGCAGACCGAGTCTGAGCAACGGTTTTTTTACTGTCCTATCCTCCAGTTTTTCCCGAAAATACACGTACTTTCAGCCTATCAAAAACTTTGTCTTTATGTGTATGTGGATATACTTTGTCTGTTAACACAGTGATAGCCATCGAGAGTCACGTGTGAGTATTTGTAACATGTCGTATTCTCCTTTCTTTGTTGAAGCGCTCTCCGTCCTGTACTCCAGCTAGCAAAGGCAGACGTGTAAGAAACTACTGCACTGTGTGTTCCCACCCCATGCCCTCCACCCTGTCCCCTACCCTTCGTGCCTGTGGTTGCGGAACACGCTAACGTCTCCGTGGCAGACTCCTGCCCTTACTGCATGCTGTGTGCGGCTGCTCCCGCTATCGCTACGCTGCCTTTCTGCATTTTCTTTTTTCTTTTTCTTTTTCTTTTTTTTTTTTTTTTTTGGCTTTGGCCGTAAAGCTTTAGGAATGTTCGTATAAATTTCAGTAACCAAACTACTATAAAATTATAAAATGTCTTTTAAATTTTTACTAGGGGGAAAAAAGTGATCCTAACATATGCTTTCCAAATTCATCACCTACAAAGTATAAATGAATTTCTAAATAAGAATCTGATATAAGCAGATATGTAGAGATTTCCTAGAGATTTTAATTATGTGGAAAAAAGACATTGATGATACGTATTATGTAGAATTCAAAAGAATTTGGGGCAACTTACAGATCTTACTGACTATAATTTTTAGTAAATCAGTTCTGCAAAAATCTTTGATAGATTATTTGATGTAGTTCAGAGGAAGATCCCTAAATATATTTATAGATTTGAGGCAATAATATTAATAATAAATCGTTTCTACTCTAAGGTGTTTCCAAGATTTTTAACAATATCGTGACACTGTATATATTGATAACAAGCTATAAGCAACATCCTATGCTGATGCTGGCCCAGTGTTTCTCAGTACTAAGGGGGCCAGCCACTGTCTGTATCCTGCAAGATTCCTTACATGCCCAGCATCCACCCCAACATCAATATACACAACATACACACCCCCTAGTGGAGAAGCAGGGGGTTTGCTGACATTGTCAGCTCTGGTTTTCACCAGCAACGTAAAATAGTAACATGAAAAAGAAACGTCTGTGGTAGAGACAAGCTTTTAAACTTTCACCTGTCAGCTTCAAAACCACTGCTAATGATCAACACCTTAAATCCAGAATTCTTGAGAACTCTGGGACTTGGAAAGGGGCTAGATTGTGGAATTTTCTGGTTTGCAGAGAGCCTGGGAAGCCGTAGGCTCACTGCTTCCGGTGTTCTTATCTTTCAGATGTCAGGGTGTATTGACACACAGTAAACGTGATGAATCCTTACTTAGCATGTTTTTCCAAACCACTGTTTAATAATGAGTAAGCAGGTCAGATACCAGTGGTTTGGCCAGTAGAACTATGACTTTAATATCTCATTGATTAATGACATTTCTTAAAAGATTGCTGGTTCAACTGATTTTTTTTTTTATTCTTCTGATATTTAGAGAGTTAAAACCATTGGGCACTTGTATTTTGAGTGTGTTAAGTGTACCCTATAACCTCCAGAAAGGAAGACCAAAACTTTGTGTGCCCAATTATATTAGGGTTCAAATCATCAGCCTGTGAATTGACTGAGTTTTTAATAAGTTCTTTTTAATGTGGTTATAATTCAGAGAGATTTTCTTTTTTCTGGTGAAGTAGAGTTATATCTCACCTGCCTTGCAGACTTCTAGGGGCCTTGGCCTCCCAAAGCACTTTTGTGAATCTTGATAAAAGGAAAAATTTTTGATGGAAATACTGTTCAGTCTATATCTCCATTCTGTAGGATATGAATAAGCCTCACTTAACTAGAGCCCCTTGATGTATATATGTTTTTCTTAAATGCAGATGGTAGGCTTGATAACCTGTTTTCCAGGCTTGCTGGAAAGCTCATTGGTTATGTATCTGACAAATTAAAAAACCACCTGTGAAGAGTGGTGATGTCTCTGGTGGAGCCGAGGGAAGAATCACTGACTATTCAGCGGGCACAGAGAAGCATGTCCCAGGGACAGCGAGGCGCCTGGATGGTCCTGGGAGGCGGCAGGCTGTCACAGTAGGACACAGGCGGTTACCATTCCCAATGGTGGCCTTGACTCCAACAGTGACATACAATTGTGTTATATGCTGCTTTCAAACAAGCAATAGGTAATACTTTTATAAACTTGAAATTCTTACGATTCCTACATGGCCTACAAGTGAGGTATCACTGTTCAAGGTTCGCTGTGTTTTTATTTCTAGACCGCTATGAGTTTCCATCTACAGTTTGAATACTTAATTCTTTTTAAGTGTGTTACCTAGTTAGGCATAGCCTGAGAAAGATTCGTTATTAATATTAATGCCTGAATGTAAGTGGTTATGGAAGGGTCCACAGTGTTTTCATTAATAGTGAGAAACATTGAATGTCTCATTTTAGGTTACTCCTTTAGAGTTTGGAAGAGAGATTATACATAGCTAACATGTACCTTAACTTTCTTTTGTTTTCTGAGAACATTTGTAAATTTTCCAGAGTAGATTTTCAAGTCGATATATTGAAAATAAGGAGAAATTTTCAGAAAGAGTAACAGGCTATATTATTTGTAATTAGTAAGATTGCACTTGCTAGTTGTAACCTCCAGTGATTTATTTATTCTTTGCTTTAGGGCAATAAAATACTAGATTCTCTGTTTTCCACATGATACGGCATTTCCATAATACTGTTTTTTTATCATAAGCTCAGTTAACTGAAAAAATTATATTAGTGTAAGTTTGAGGTTATAAAGTGTTTCTGAGTACAAAAAAACTGGACTACTTGCCACTTTGTTTCCAAAATAACTTAGAATTTTATATTTACAAATACAAAAACAACACGTTAGATGTAAGCTTTTTTAAAAACTCTGTATCTCATTTGTATCAAATCTTGGTATCTTTTACTTTAAAAACAGGTTTCTTATGAGAATGTTTTGCTTATATTCAAATCTGTAATTATTTTTGGAGTAGAAAAGGCCCATTGATACACATTCAAGATGAGTTGTTTTAGTTGTTTTTATTATTTATCAGAAAACCATACTGCATAATTTGAGGATTTCACCTAAAAATCCAATCCGATCTAGAGGGAAAGAAACTTTTCTATTTTATCGTACTAGTCTAAAAATAAATTTTGTGGATCACTCAGTAGGGAAATCCTAATAGATTCAAGAAACATTATGGGCTTTCTACATGACAGCATTCTGCACTGTGGATAATACTGCTGATACTTACTCAGTTTTTCTTTTTTTTTTTTTTTTTGCCCAAAGAGTAGAGCGGTTGGTAAAAATGACGTTGGGGTGTAGTAGATGTTTCTAATGTCTGTTCATCAGAATAACTCCTTGAAGTAGGTTTACTTGGAAAATGAATTAGTTAACCAAAAACTAGGGAAAAATCACATTTAGGTAAATATATAATTCTTATCTTTCTCAGTAGATTGCAGTGGATTGCTTATACTGTTCAGTTAAGTGGTACTCAGTACTCAGTGGGCCAGCCACTGTCTGACCCAATATTTGTTTCCAAGAACTTCCTCCAGATACTATCAGAAGGTACTGTCCAGTTAATGTTAGCTATGTATTGTTTTTCACTATTTTCTCCTTTTTATCATTTTTCTTTGATCATAAATGCAATTATTGAATTGTGATATCTCTGCTATAGATGTAGATCATGTTTGTCAGCTTTTCCTGCTTCATTAATTCAAGTCATTGCTTACGTTTAGTGTTATACAGTTTTCAAAACATAAAGAATTTAACTTCCATGGTTTAAGTATATTATTAATGATCGTATTATAACCATGATAGAAGTTCGGAAGGATGGTGGTAAAAGTTCGGAAGGTAAATATAATTGATGTGCTAATAATAAGATGCTTTGCTGCCATGTTGTATCTGAATCATTACCAATCATCAAATTAACTTTAGGCTCTCTGCAGTCTGGCTTGTTGTTATTGAGTATTCTGAAATTTCAGTAAAATCAATTGCTTTTTAGTGGATAGAATAAGTCCTTAGTTATAAATATATGAATAAGCATGTGATTATAGATAAAATTTGTAACATCTTGAAAAACCATGAAAAACCAGTAACAGCTTGAAAAAAGCACGCTGATGGTAATTAACACTTCGAAAAGAAAATATGAAAGTGGTATTATATTTTTCTTACTCTTCCTGTTAAATCTCTTTTGAGATATTCTTGACACTGGCAGTAATCCAGAAAGGAAATGAAATGTATAAATCTATTAATCTAACAGGTAGCTTCTAATAGCTGTTAGAAGATGTGAGAAAAGAAATTTTTAGTTTAATATTCAAAACGTTATTGCCATGAGTTTTATTCATCTTTACCAAACTTTGTTCCTTGTATTTCTAAGAAACATACTTGTGAAAAATAAAGTGGTAATTTTTAAACTTTTAAACTCATGGTTTTTTAAAAAATCAGTATCATTATAAATGGCATAGTTCAACTTTTTAAATATACTCAACACCATCTCAGAATATTACTAAAATATGTTTACTTATTTTTAATTTGTTTTAACAAAAACTACCTGATTTTGTTTAATCTCTGGAATTTATTTTAAGAACTTATGATTCCAAAAAGCTGGTGTGCTAATTTTCATTATTCTGTTTTATTAGAATTGGTAATGGAATAGTTTTTAAATCTAAGTGTTTCCTCTTTTGAATAACCAGTTTTACCTCATGCAGCTAAGAAAATCATTTTAAAATTTATGCTCATTTCCGTTTCCTTTTTTATTTATGAGTTAAAAACTTGTTAGGAGCTACAGACTTTTATAAATGACAATAATTCTAAAGAAGGGCCATGAGGTATGTATTTAAAGCCTCGAGAGTTCTTTAAGAGTCACTAATTTCTGTAACCAAGGATTAAACTTTGATGGTGTATTTTTTCCTTTGTTCAGTATCACACTGTCATCATGGCACAATTTTCACAGGGTCATGAAACATGATGGTGAATGTTTGAAGGACCAGCTATGGGGTGGGAGCAGGCGGTGGGTGGATATTTAGGGGAGATGGTTTCTGTAGTATACAGGTCCCAGCAGGGCGCGTGCTGACAAAATGCCTTAAGGCAGCGTGTTCTAATGTCTGCATAGGAAGAAGTAATCAAACCATGTGCTTGCCTCTGGCTGGTGTATATTCACGGGGCTCAAAGAGCAGACCCAATTTCAGTTGTCAGCCAGTACTCCTGCCTTTCTCATTTTTGAGGCGTCTTTAAAGTAACTGGACTTGGAGGCAGAAAGCCACGATATTAGCTGTCCAGTCTCATTCACAGCTTTATGCTTTGCACAGAAACTTCTGCTTTTACCTCTTTCACTCAGGCTACGGGCTACATTGTGTGACAGGTCAGAAACTTAAATTTTACTAAAATGACCCCTTTTTGCATTTAACAAATCCCCTACTTGGACCCTTCCTTAAAACTTGATGATCAACTTAACTTGATTGTATGAGGTCATTTTAGGTTCTTACTAGTGTAAAATGCATCAGGACTGCTTTGCTTATCAATTCCATTTTAACAAACCCTCGCCCATGGATTCTTATTCAGTTGGCAATTTATGTAATGGTATGGAAGCTTAGAAGGAGGAGATTTCTATAAAGTAGGATCTTTCTGCCCAGTCTCCAACCCAGATTTCTATTCCAGATTAATAATTTAAAAGAAGTACCTTCTCCATGACTGTCCTGCATAAAATTGTGAACTAGGCAAAACTTGTCTTAGAGGCTCATCATCTTTCTTTCACTCTCCTGTTCCTGGTCAGAGTTCCCTGTCAGGAAAAGAGATCACGTAACTCATTCTCAATGACCGTTAAGTTGCTTTGAGTACCTTTACTGTGGAGATGCCTCTGGTACCACAAAAAGAAGACTGGATTTGAAGTCAAGGAGTGGGATTCAGGCCTGGTTCTCCCACTTCATAAGCTGTATTTGTTTTATGAAATCAGTCACATTGCACACTTCAGAGCTGACATACAGCTAGTATGCTTCAGCTCAAGTGTTCCAGTTTTTAAAATATTCAAATACCTTCCTAGCTGATGGTACATGGCTGCTGCTCCAAGTTCCTTAGATGTCCTCCTGGAGACCCTTCTCCCCACTTCTCCTAAGCACAGTAACTAAAGGTTTAAGGCCTTGTTGGGAGCCATGTGAGTCATCACCACCAAATCCTTGCTTGTGGTTTGCCAGAAAACCTGCCTGTGCCCAGCAGAGGACTCCTGCAGGGTTAACCAGCCTGCTAGCCAGTCCCTACAAGAGTAACCATAATAATAGTAAAGGAAAAGAACAAAAAATGTTTTAAGTACCTACTTAAAATCCTTAAGCTGATTGTTCTTCTTATTGAATAGTAACTTCTGATCTAAGCATTGTTCTTGCCATACAGTACAGCTGAAACAAATTCTCCAACCTCTTTTCGAAATTGCTTTCATTGCCTTTCATTTCAAAAATGCAATCCTGATAGTTTTGAAAATTGCCAAGCTGAATATATCATCGATCAGTATGCTCTCCATAAGATCTTTAATGCTAAATTTTAACCCCAAGCATTTTGAGTTTCTAAAAATACTTGGTTAAAAGGATGCAGCTGAATATAAGTGCTGGTATTTCCACTGCCGCGGAACAAAAAGGCAGTGTTGCCCCAGCCAGCACAAAGCGGACAAATTAGTTTCTTTTACTTTGAAGTAATGCCTGGTAGATGACCAAATTTCCTTCTTATGAAGGACAAAATTATCTCTAACCTGCAGCACAGACTCTGTTAAGTACTTGGCACTTAATTCACACATATGATTACGTTTGTGGAATGCAAGCCCAGAACGTGTAGTGGAGACAGTGCTTGAAGTCAGAGACTGGCAGTGAATGAAGATGGGAGCATTCTGTTAACTGTTGTCTTTATCTTTGTTTACATTAAGGCTCGTGGTTATACTTTTGTGTAATGACACATCCCGAAGGTGAATTTCAGACTGAACTTTGCTTTCCTCTTCTCGAGGAATGTTAATCATGATCGTGCCTTACAGAAGTTTGCTTAGAGCTGCACATTGTTTGAAAGTGATTTCTTGGGTTTTTGTTTTTCCCAACTTATCTTCCTAGACCGATCCCGTTGAGAGCACATATGTACGGAATCCGAACGTCAAGGTTAACATCCAGTCAAGGTCCACATCTCCTTCCACTTCTAGTGAAGCTGAGCCAGTTAAGGTGCCTCATTGGAGCAGTCTTGCTCCCCAACTGTTCACTTGTGTCAGAAAGAGGGAATCGCAAAAAACAAGTGAAATCTGACTCTTCTTTTAATCAAATATATTATGTAATGTCACAATATATTGGCGATCATTGCATTTGGCTGGTAATGTAAATAGGACTCTAAAACCAAAGTCGAAAGATGCCCCCTCCAGATTCAACCTAAAATAGACAAATACTTATTTACTTATAAAGGTAGTCTTTATTTTAAGTAGAGGACTATGTGGAACAGAAGGAAGGGTTATCTCACTTTTGGAATTGTCGGATATAAACTTGGTGGGCACCTGGCTGTGTCAGGTGCCATTCTCAGTAAATCTAGTAAGACCTACACAACTGTTACTTCGGAAATACAGCTTAAAATGAAAATTGCCACTGCTGGCCACTGAATACTTTATTCTAACTGCTCAGTCAGCAAGAGGCATTCAACTGTGTCATGTCTTTTAATAGTACAAAAACAGTGTTGTTTTGTACCTCCTGTTAGTCACTGGTTTCAAACAGCCAGTCGGCCAGTTTTCTCAGCGGAGGTCGTTCCCTCAACAAGCAGAAGGGTTTGTGTCATGCCTCAGGGAAGCCCTCCTGCCTCAAGATGCAATTCGGATTCTTCACTCAGCTCGCAGTTCTGACAGAGCCCCTTTGTTTCCTGTATTATCTCTAGAACTGTGTCTCCTGTTCCAAGAGAAGCAGTTAGTCCACTTTGGAAAGCTGTCTGAAGTGAAGTGTGATTTGTAGTTAGATTCTGACTTGATTTTTTACAACCCTGTGACAGACTACCTCAGACTAGTTAAGTTGATGAGTCTCTGCTTTTTTTTAATCATTGTTTTAATATTTCAAGTTTATACATTTTTAATGCTGAAATATCTCACGCATACAGAGGTTAATAAACACGCATGTAACTCACCCACAGATTTAACAGATGTGAACATTTTGCCCTGTCCTTTTCAAATTTGTTTTCAGAGAGAGAATATTTCAGAGAGTTGGAATACCTTTTCCTATACCATTCCCCTCTCTCCTTTCTCAGACATATCTAAAAACCCTGAAACTCATGTGCATCTTCTTCCTTGGTTTTTCATTTCACTTCATTTATATTCATAAACAATATACGAAAATGTTTGTTTTACATTTGTTTTACACAAACATAAATCTTCATTTCTTTCATTATGCTTTTGAGCTTTACTCATGTAGATACATGTCCCTTTAGTTGATTCATTATAACTTACATAATATTTCATTGTATGACTATACCACAACCATTTATGTATTATCCTAGTGTTAGATATTTAGCTTATTTTCAATTTTTCTTAATTACAATCAGTGCTGAAGTGAACATCCTAGTTTCTGCTTTTGCAGATATGCGGTTTGTTTAGCGTATATACTGGGAAGCTGAATTATTGGGTTGCGTGGTGTATGCATTTTCAACTTTAACTAGATTTTGCCAAATTATTTTCTATAGTGGTTGGACCAATTTTCACTCCCACCAGCAATATGTGAGAGTTCCCCATTTTCCCACATCCTCACCTATCCTTGGTACTGTCAGACATTAACTTTAGCCAATTTGATGGGTATGGAGTGGCATTTTTGTTTTTAATTTGCATTTCTTTGATCTCAAGTATTAATTCAGCATCTTTTTATGTTTATTGAGCACTGGTGGTTTGCCTGTTTATGTCTTTTGTCTGTTGTTCTATTGAATTATTTTTCCTATTTTTGTAAGTGTTCTTTATGTAATCTGGATACTAATCCTTAGCTAGCTATATGCACTGCAAATATTTTCTTCCAGTCTGTGCTTATTTTAAAATTTTATTTGGTGTCTTTTGGTCTTGCAACAGTGTTTATTTTGAAGTAGGCTTATATAAATCAGTCATTTCCTTTATGACTTCTGTTTTTTATGTCTTTCTAAAGCAGTTCTTCCCTATGCATATGCAGCATTTATAAATTTTCTTCCATACGTTTTTCTAAAAGTTTAAATTTTTTTTTATTTTATATGTTTAGGATCTTAAACTGAAATTTATTGTTACATATTATATGAAATGGGGTTCTAAATCTATTTTTCTCATGAACAACCAACTCTACTATATTTCCCCCATTGATCTGTAAGACACTCTCTGCTTTGTGTATATGGGTCTGTTTGGGGTTTCTTTATTCTCTTCAGTTCTTTTTGTCTATTCCTGCATCAGTATCACATTGTCTTAATTATTATAACCTTAAAATAATTTACCTAGTATAATCAGCCACTCCCACCCACCTTTTTCTTTTTCTTTCTCTTTTTGACCCTTTAGTTTTACATAAGACTTTTTAGAATCAGTTCTATGTAGGACCTTTGATTGAAATTGAATTGAATTTATAGATTTATCTGAGGAAAATTGACATCTTTGTGAATGGCTCTTTCCACCTATGAACATGGTATACATATCATTTAGATATTTTTATATCTTTCAATAAAGTTTTGTTAATTTCTTTATGAATTTACTTCATATTGCTTGTTACATTTGTTCCTAGGTACCTTAAAGTTTTTGTTGCTACAGGGAATGGAATCTTTTCCAAATATATATTCTTATGGTCTTCATGAACCCTCTTGAGCTTGTGTCCAACAGCCTTACTTCACTCCTTTTTTTCTAAACTTTTCTTGGGCTTTCTTTGTAAATTATAATGTCAGTTTTGTTTCCTATTGATTGTTTTTTATTAACTTTTATGTAGCTTTTCAGTGTTCTTCTTTTGTCTCTCATGTTTACCTTTCTAAACATTAATTTATAAATTGGGTTCAAAACTTTTTCAAGCTATTTAAAGGTAAATTTAAATTAGAACTAAACTCACAAGCAGAAAACTCTGAGAAGTTCAATTCATTTCCATTTTAAGGTTATAGGGCATAGAAAATACTCTGTTTATGTAGTAACAAAAGCAAAGAGAGATCATCTATTTTTCTTTTAATATTTTAGACTATTCTATAACTTTATTCAAAGCTAGCTTTTTCGGGGTGCCTGGGTGGCTCAGTGTAACGGTTAAGCCACTGCCTTCGGCTCAGGTCATGATCTCAGGGTCCTGGGATCGAGCCCCGCATCGGGCTCTCTGCTGAGCAGGGAGCCTGCTTCCCTTCCTCTCTCTCTACCTGCCTCTCTGCCTACTTGTGATCTCTCTCTGTCAAATAAATAAATAAAATCTTTAAAAAAAAAAAAAAAGGCTAGCTTTTTCCTCTTGTTTGCTTGCTTAGCATCCTGAAATGAAGTAATTCTTTGTGGCTTTTTTTAATACTTTGCTAATTAAGTTCTGTTTCTTTTCCAGTAAAATCAGTGTTTCCTTCCATTGAAAGGAATATCTTACATTAATATCATCTAAAGATACATCTTTTAACTTTTAAATTTGTATGTTAAGCCCTGAATTCCAATAATACTAAATTGTCTAACTCCATTCTTTGGAAATTGATTTCTGCACAAAATCCCACTAATCAATCTCTCTCTTTTCTCTCTTTCTTTCTACATACATGCACAAACACACACAATTCTACTGAATTGTGTTCTATATATGTAACATGCATTCTGTATATAGAAGTTGGAAGTTAAAAGAATCTTTAAATATTTTGATTATAAATCCTGCTTTTAAAAAAAACATACTTTTAAGAATATGGCATTTTCAGATGAACTTGAAAATTAATATCCTCATTTTTATTTGGGCTATATGCTGTGTTTTGTTTTCTTCTGTGGATTCTCTTTTCTGAATCATTTCTTTTTAAATTTCCAGACAAACTTTTTTTTTTGCTACTTGAACAACTATTTCATTTGTAGACATTTCAGGCTGAAATTTAAATTATCAACACTATGAGAAATTTAGCTTCGTTGAGATATTTTTTGCCTTTATCGATGTCTTGCTTGGCTTTATTTACTTTGACTTATTTTTGGTTATGTTTGAAATAGATGGAGTGTTTCATGACATTTATTTCCTTTTTTGCTCCTGGATTCAGACTGTAGACAGTACTCCTCCTCCAGTTCACACACCAACCTTAAGGAAAAAGGCATGTCCTGGTTCAACTGGCTTTCCAGCTAAGGTACTCAATCTTAGATATAAGCATGAAGTGTTCTGGGAAAAAAAAAAAAAAACATGAATAGTGGTTTTCTTCTGCTGGTTATATTTACTGTGGTTTTTACTATTGGTTTCCTCAAAATTGCAAACATAAAAGCTTGGAATGAAAGTAAATCTTGTATGACTGGAAATAACCCTGCTAAGAAAGGTAGGAAGAGTGATGTAAAGTTTGTTTTGTTTTTCTTCCATCTTTTGTCTATTTTTTAGTAATAATTTTAATCTACAAATTATAAAAATTGAAAATGGAAGGGCTTTATTGAAGTGCATAGTTTGGTTTGGTCGGTTTTATTTATTAGTGGAAAAGCCTGACAAGTTGGAAGTTTTCTGCTTTTTCTTTTTTTATGATTTCTGAGCTTTTGAAAGATTACTGTTTTTAATGTATATTCTCCTTTTGCTTTATGCATTTAAAGTTTTTTCAGATCAGTTTTGGACACTAACAAATTGAAGGAGAAATAAAATCACTGATAAACCAATTTTTTCAAAATTCCAAACAACTTTTCATTACTAATTGTTCCCATTTTAAAATATAAAACACAGAATACATAGTAGAGAAGGAAGATGCCACTTGAATAGACCGTAAGGACAGCATTAGCATGCACTCAAATGCATGTTGGATTCAGGAGAAAGACTACAGACCTGAAAAGTTCAAAAGATTGCTAGGTTTTTGTTTTGCTAGTTCTTTGGGGTTATACTCTTATTTTTATATCTACAGGAAAATAGCCTTAACATCATTCTTAAAGTATTTACATAAATATTTATGGGATTAAACATTTTAAAAGACCTCTAAATTATCAATCAAAAAGTAATATAAAGAGCAGCATCATAATTGTATCTACAATTTACTGAATAGGACTATGCTTCAGATATTATCTATCTACTATATTATTATTTCTCTCACTATTATTTCTATCTGTGTCTAAAAGTTTCTAATTCAATTCTTACTACAGTGTTTGAAGGTATCTAATATGTCTCCATAAAGCAGAAAACCTAAGTCTTAGAGAAATTAACTTTCAAAATGTCACACAAATAGTAAGCTACAGGGTCAATATTTGCATGGAGATCTGCACATTTCTAAGTATTTCTTTTAAACAATATCTACTATTAATGTTAGATATGCAGTTAACAAACACATAGTTATACCATAATTTGAGAAGGTTTGGGGTTCTAGAAGACGCAGATTGGTATTACTTATCTGGCATAGTTAGTTCATGTAGGTAGTACAATAAATGGAAATTTCCAATGAATAGAAATTATTGCTTCTATACTTGCTGTCTTTTTTGTGGTCTCCTTGTTTCCATCTTCCTAAATTCAGTGTTTTGAAGTCTGCTATTATAAGGAGTAGTGCTTAGAGGATGCATTGTAAAGAAGTTGAGGCCACTCAGAAGAATCTAAGATTGAAGTTGACAAACTACTGAGAAAGAGAAACATTTAGTGAAAAATTCAGGTGAATTATTTTTTCATTCTATTCAACATAACTATCACTGAAGTGTTGATTATGGTAGAACATGAAGATTTAGTTGCTTATCTCAACCTCCTACAGTGAAATTCTAGAAACTGGAAAACAAGTGTTCTCCCTTCCCAGAACAGAAAGCCTGGATAAACTGCAGAGTGAAAGGTTGGTGGATCTGAAAAGCTAATAAAAGTTACAGAAGTATAACTGGCATAGAAGAAAAACAAGCTGAATAATCTAGGCTACATAAAGCAAAATTCTGAGGCCAGAATATGAATTTAAAATAGGCACAATAAGTATCTGAATGAAACTTTTTTTTTTTTAAAAGGAAGTATATTGGTCACATGGAGTGGCATAAAGCATCTAGGAAGAAGAATAATTTGCAAGTGCTCATGTGAAAATATAACTGCTGGAATAAAGAACTCAGCAGATGGCTTTAACAGGATGAGCAAACTAGATGTAGGAGAAGGACAAGTTATTGGGGTGGAAGATGACGTGGATGATACAACACATGACAGAAATAGTTTCAGTATCTCTGTAGTAGGACTTGGAAGGGGAGAGAAAAAAATAGAAGCACTGGAAGAAATAATCCCTTAACATTTCCCAGTAATTAAAGATGAAAAACCTCATTGAAATACATCATTATGTGCTAAAGAGAATAATTTTTAAAAATTTACACTTAGACACGTTATAGTAAAATTTAAGGATATATCCTAGATTAAGAGAAAATCCTAAAAACTTTCAAAGACAAAGTTATCTGTAAAGAAAAATTAATTGGTATCAGACTTCTCAACAACACTAAATGCGAGAAAACAATTAAGATTAATGTTCAAAATGTTGAAGAAAAAGAACTTTGAACCTTAAAATTTTAACTCAGCTGTAATATCACTTAATTGTGAGAGTAAGTTAGAAATATTTTCATGTATACAAGAACTTAACAAATTTATTACTTTAAAAACTTATCTGAAAATACTCTTTTATACATTAAGAACATACTATCAGGAAGGGAAATTAAGATAATAGCCCCTTTTAGAGTTGCATCAAAAAGAATAAAACACCTAGGAATAAATTTAATCAAGGAGATAGAAGATCTGTTCACTGAAAACTGTAAGACATTGTTGAAAGAAACTAAAGAAATGTATTATATGTTCACAGATTGGAAGAATTAATATTGTTAAAATGTCTATACTACATGAAGCGATCTGTAAATTCAGTGCAGTCCATGTCAAAATTCCAGCAGCATTCTTCACAGAAATAGAAAAAACAATGCTAAAATTTGTATGGATCCACAAAAATCCCCTCAAATAGCCAAAGCAGTCTTCAGAAAGAAAAAATGTGGAGGCATCACATTTCCTGATTTCAAACTGTATTACAGAGCTATAGTAACCAAAACAGTCTGGTACTGGCCAAGAAAACAGACATATAGATCACTAGAACAGAAAAGAGAAGCCAGAAATAAATATGATGTATCTGTTCAATAAACACATATGATCAATTAATTTATGACAAAGGCATCAAAAATATACAATAGGGAAAGTATAGTCCCTTCAATAAATGGTACTGGGAAAACTGGGTATCCACAATCAAAAGAATGAAACTGGACCACTGTCTCACACCATACACAAAAATCAACTCAAAACAGATTGAAGACTTGAACTTAAGATCTGAAACCATAAAACTCCTAGAAGTAAATGGTGGGTAATCTTGACATTGGTCTTAGGAATGACTTTTTGGATTTGATATCAAAAGCAAAGACAATGAAACAAAAGCAAAGATGAATAAGTGGAATCACGTCAAAGTAAAAAATTTCTGCACAGCAAAGAAAACCGTTAAGTTGAAAAGGCAACCTATGGAATGAGAGAAAATATCTGTGAGTCATTTCTGGTAAGGCGTTAATATCCAAAATACAGAAGAACTGATACAACTCAATAGCCCCAAAACAAGACAAAAAAACAGCCACATAATCCAATTCAAAGATGGGCAGAGGATCAGAATAGACATTTTTCCAAAGAAGACATACCAAAAAATGGCCAAAGATACATAAAATGGTGCTCATCATCACTAATCATCAGGGAAAGGCAAATCAAAACCACAATGAGATACCACCTCATTAGAGGTGGTAGAATGGCTGCCATCCAAAAGGCAAAGAGATAACCAGGTGTTGGCGAGGATATGGAGAAAAGGGAACTCTACTGCCCTGTGGGTGGGAGTATACATTGGTGCAGCCACTGTGGAAAACAGTATAGAGGTTCCTCACACAACTAAAAATAGAACTACCATATGATCCAACAACTCCACTTCTGGGTGTATACCTTAAGGAAACAAAATTACTATCTCAGAGATTATATGTGCCCCCTTGTCCAGTGCAGCATTATTTACATTAGTCAAGATGTGGAATAACTTGTATCCACTGACAAGAGAATGGATGAAGAAAATGTGCGCGTGCAAACACACACACACACACACAACGGACTATCATATGGCCATAAGAAAGAGGAAAATCTTGCAATTTGTGATGACATGGATGGACTTTGAGGGCATTATGTTAAATAAAAGAAAGACAAATACTATAATGATCTCACTTATATATACAATCTTAAAATTTCAAACTCATAGAAATGGAGTATTGGTTGCTAGAGGTGGGGTTGGAAGATGAGGGAAAAGGTACACACTTCCAGTTACAAGATAAGTTCTGTAGACAAATGCAATACATGGTGACTAGAGTTAACAATACCATATTGTATATTTGAGACTTGAAACTTGCTAAGAGAGTAGATCTTAAACATTCTCCTCACAAGAAAAAAATCTCAACTATATGAGGTGATGGATGTTAACTTTGGTAATCATTTTGCATTATATGCATGTATCAAGCCATGATGGTGTATACCTTAAACTAATACATTATATGTCAGTTATATCTCAGTAAAACTGGGGGGGGGAGGTAAATATTCTTGGAGGAAATTCTCCATCAAAAGGAGATATAAAGGGTGCCTGGGTGGCTCAGTTGGTTAAGCAACTGCCTTTGGCTCAGGTCATGATCCTGGAGTCCCTGGATTGAGTCCCGCATCGGGCTCCCACCTCCACGAGGAGTTTGCTTCTCCCTCTGATCTTCTCCCCTCTCGTGCTCTCTGTCACTGTCTCTATCTCAAATAAATAAATAGCATCTTTAAAAAAAAGAGATATAAAGCTATGAGACCACTGTGAGAGACTTGGGAAATAGGGTGACTCAGTATCTCACAGCACTGTGCTATGGTCTGTAAAAACCAGCACCTTCACTCTACAAAAGTCGAAGAGAAAGGAAATACATGATCAAAGCTGTCCAGAATTAATGTAAATACAAACACAGAGGAGGTGAATGTATGGATCAGGTGAGGTGAGCTTAAGCATTTTCTCGTCTGGGGAGAAGCTGCAGAGACAGCATAGCATGGTGTAGTTATTGTGGTGGGTTCCTAGCAGGGCCTTCTAAGTTACTGTCACAAAGTAGCTGTGTGAACTTGAGGAAGTTACTCTTCCTT